CTTATAGCCCATGTCCCATGATATTAATTTAATGTTAATTTAATTCAATTAAATTCACCCTTATTAATTTGGATATAGGCACCCACAGGGTTGGCCATCATGATGATCATGATTTATTTATTTATAGCACATAAAAGGCCGCTTTCCACCTGGCCTAGGGGGCAGGGTCCAGACTCACCAGCTCTACTAAGGAGGTGCCTGAACTTTGTGTTAAATATGTATTCTGTAGTTGACCTCCTTTATAATGTTTTATTTTGAAATCTTTAAGATAATATTTTAGTTTTCCGTTAATTATGTTGCTTTGACTGTATACTCTATATTTGACTTTCTTTAGAAATGTTTGATTCTGAATTGTTTTATTGATGTTTTAATATGCTGTAAACTGCTTTGAGATTTTTCTTAAAAATATAAAGTGGTATAGAAATGAAATAATGATGATGATAATAATAATAATAATAATAATAATAATAATAGGAGACATGTTACATTTGTGCCAATGCCTATGACCCAAGTTACTGCCACTAAGCTTGCCAAGGAATACTAACACAGCAAACCCAATGCTGCTTTTTCAAATATGATTCTGTTCCAAGCAAACAATTAATATAATCTTTGACAGAATATCAACTCAGATCAATGCCAAATTGAGAGTACCAGAATCCTAAATGAATATTTTGTCTTTTTAAATGGCCAACAGATAATGCAAATGAGTAATTCTGCCAGTTTGGCTCTTAAGTATCCTGATGACTTAGACTCTGTAAAATTTACTTTGGAGCTTTGGAGTATTTAAAAACAAGCTCAATTTTAATGTGGAAATACTGCACAAAGTCACTGGAATTGTTGCACCTAATTAACAGAAACTATTTACAGGATGCATTTCCCAATTTCTGCATTGCTCTGAGAATTTACACAACCCTTTCAACGACTTCGGCAACCTGTGAAAGAAGCTTCACTAAAATGAAGTTAATTTTTAAAAACCAACTATTTAAGATCAATGATGAGTCAAGAATGACTAACAAGCCTGGCAATCTTATTTAATGTGAATGATGTTGCCCATAAAATCAACGGTGATGATGTCATAGTTTTGCAGAAAGAAAGGCCAGAAAAGTTAAATTTAAAATTTAAAATTATATTTGTCACTTGGAGTTCTCAATCAGGGAGCAGGAGGCAGCAGTTTAGACTTTTGCCTCCTCCTGCAAAATTTCTTGATCCATCCCAATTTCTATGCTAGTTTCAGAAGACCAGTCCCATTAGATATGTCTTTAAAACAAGACATACACAGAAGCAAGACAGCAGCCAGAGAAAAGAAAACCCATACATATTGGTCTCTGCTCCTCCCCATTCTGTTATCCTTGGAAAATGAAGATACCACATCAGAAAACAGCCTGGCATCATCAGTTTAAGATTCCCGCTAGGGAGAGCACAGACACACTGCATCTGAAAGCCATGTGTGGCTGAGGGCTGTGAGCAGTGTGGGCTGCTGGGTGTCTATGACTGGATTTGTGTGTGAATTTATGTGTGCCAAGCTTGGCAGCCAGTAGTTAAGGCTATAATCTGATGAACATGGTTTCATCCTCTTGTTTGAGACTGTGATTCTTAGCACGCATACACACATGTGAAAGTATGGTTCGTGAAAATAATCCATGACACACTCTAGTAAATACAGCGTCTTCTTTTTTTTAAAGAAAGAAATCAGGTTGAAAATCAAATGAACACATTTTGGTGTGCAAAGCTAGGCATGTGGTTAATATCTCCTGTGTGCTTGGCTGTTTTATAAAGCTCAGGGATACTGCCTATGTGACAAACTGCCATAATGTGCACAGCACTGTATCTAAGGTTGCAATCTCTTACACACTAACTTGGGCATTTTACTTAACTCAATGGGACTTTCTTTCGAATAAACATACGGAGGATGCATGCATGGCTGATACACCAAAAATTTATTCCACCTCTGCTATGAAGCAGAGTAAATTTGCAAAAACAACAAATCTTCTTAAAAGCTATTCTCAACCGCTCTCATTCTCTACTAGTGTATTTTATTTTATTTTACATTTTATAGCATTTGCTTGCCACTTATTACATAAAGGTTTTCTGGGCAGCTTACGATAAATAAGTAGAAAACAATTGAATTACAAAGACATAATACCATAAAATCCAAAGCTCCAAAAATACATTCGCTGCACTCCCAAAGTTAAAATAAAGATTTAGGAACTGAGAAGCTCGGGCTACTTAAAAGGCTTGGGTGATGAGAAAGGTCTTCAATTGGTACCAAAAAGAGCACAAAGGTGGTGCTTCCCTAGAAAGCCTGTTTGATAATCAGGTGCCACTGCCCCAAAGGCCCTGTCCCTGGTGCTTACCCAAGTCACTTCATTTGGCAGGAACACCTAGAGCAGGGCCTGCAAAGAGGCTCTTAAAAGTTGGGTAGGTACGTATGGAAGAAAGCAGTATTTCAGGTAACTTGGTCCCAAATTAATTTGCACTAAAATCCCATCATCTTTTCTCAGAAGTAAGCTCATTCACTTCCTTTGCACTTACTCCCATGTATAAGATTGTTCAATAACTAACCACACCCAATATTCACACATGAGGCTTCACACCTGTCTCAAGTGCGAACAATGCATGGGTAGCTTGCAGCAGTCTATTTTATTAGCCAGAAGAGTGTGTCATTAAAGAAAACAAGTTCCTCTAAAGAGGAATGTGCTATAAGCATCTAATTGTGTTGACACTTATTACTATGGAAAGCATTTTTTAACATCGTTTTCTCCTTACCAAGTCTGTCGTGTTTTGCTAATGTGTTTCTCTTTACTAGTTTAGATCTGTGTTCCAAGGGGAGTGTACAGCAAATGAAGAATGACTTTGAATAATTTGTTTTGTTTGTGCTGCAGCAAAATCACAAATGGCTCAAGTGAGGGCACACAGTCACACGGGGGGAACTGCTGGCGAAATTTGGTGCACACTGCATCAATTAAAGTATATATTTAAAAATTGGATCCTAAGCAAGGCATGGCTAATTTATTTGATGTTGTTTTTAATCATTTATTTATTGCTTGCTGAGATTATTAAAACAAGACCCAGGCTTATGTAACCGCATGGGGATGGGATCAAGAACTAAAGATGATCAGAAATTATTTATAAAACAAACTGGGGTCATAGTAAGGAAAAAAGTAGCTTTTTAAAAAGTATGTCAGGAAAGTGGTAGACACAGGATGCAATTCAGCAGTGCTTTTTTTCTGGGGGGAGGCAGGGGTACGCATTTGTGTTTGGAGGGAGCCCACAGAGAGAAGAGAGCGTGGGGGGAAGTCCAATTGAAAGTACTGTTGGATGTACCTGTGATCTGCTTGGTAGGTGGGTCATGCCCAAAGAGTCTAATGCAAGTATTAATTGGATGTCATCGAAAGTTATGAAGTCAAGATTAAAAACTATAGACACTTTGCTCTTGCAAAGACACCATTCAGATCAATGGAACTTAAGCAGGAGAGCTTCCTAGTACAAGGATGGGGAACTTGTTTGCCCTGACCACTGACTATACTAGCTGGAGTTGATGGGAGTCTACCTGGAGAGGCAAGGCTTCCCCATCAGTGATCTAATCTCTATGCTTGTCTGCAAGAGACCTACTGGGACTTTTAAGCTGGGTCAAATATTGAACATTTTAAAGCATCTAATTATTGACAAAATGGACCTTAAATGGACCAAATCTTCATAAAGTGAGTGTGTGTGTGTGCGTGCGCGCGCACGCACACACACACAGAGAAAGAGAGAGATGAGAGAGAGAGACAGAGAGGGGGGGCCACCAGGGGGCACATTGGAAGATGGCCGACAATAACATCTCTCCGTCCCACACGAGGTAATTAAGAGGCTGATATGGGAGTATGCAGCCTCCCTTCGTTGCCCCAAGGGAATGGGGAACGCTGCCTTGCCTGCTGTGTCCATAATTCACCCCCGGATTCGAAAGAAGGGGGTGAGGGCACTAGGCACAAAGCCCTCGGGTGGGGTCCGGCTCTCCCGGACGCTGTCTCTGATAGCGCACTGGCTGCATCAGCTCAAAATATATAATTGGAAAAGAAGCAAATGCACATATTTCAAGTGAAGAACGGGAGTGAAGACTGCTAACTGAAGTGGCCTCTGTGAAAGGAGAGCAACGGGTTGGATTTAACGGAATACAACATGAAGAAAATATATCAGGTTCAGTATGCCGGAGTGGGACTGGATGGGGGGGGGACTTTTTTTCTTTTCTTCTATGTGATTAACCAATAACCCCTCCTCAAAAAGAACCGTCGCATAACCGACCTAAGCAGGATGATTAAAAACTGTGTGGAAATGATTTACTACCAAAAGTTTGGCTTGTGAGATCGAGAAAAAGAACAAGGCCTTTTGATGGCGCAGCAACAAAAAGGGAGTCGCCATTTTGACAGGTCCTGTCGAAAGATTCATGATCGGGAGGAGGAAGCTTTGTTTTCATATTGGATTCCTGGTAGAACCTCCTTGAGGACAGTGAACTTGTGGCAACAAAATGTTCCAGCTTTGGAAATATCAACGCAACAAGAATCCCAGATTTTATAACTTTGGAAAGCATGGAATGTGCTACTGAACTAAAATCTACTCTACACATTGTGGTGGCAGTCTGACAGCATAATCCCAACCATGTCTAATGATCAGAAATAAGACCTATTGAATTAAATGGGACTAATATGTGGGGTTAGTATTGCAGCCAAAAATTGTAGAATGCTGGACTTTACCACCTTGGACATCAAAAGGTCCTTTAAAGAAAATGAAATCCTTTTTTAAAATAAACACACCAAAACATCATTCTCTCTCATTGCAAATTAGTTTATAAGAGATAAATTTACCATAGCCTTCTCCCCAATATGCTACTTTTCTTTTCCAATGGGGGTAGCAGTCAAAATTACAATGCCTACCCACCTGGGATGCATTCTGAAGTGGCACAGTCCAGGTTTCTACTACTGTATTGCTATCTGCACAATATGCGGAATGCATTGGATCATGAAGGGTTGTAGCTCAGTGGTCAAGCATCTGCTTTCCATACAGAAGGTGCCAGGTTTAATCCTGGCATCTTCAACTTGGGCTAGGTCTGTCCCCTATGTGAAACTCCAGAGAGCTTCTGGCAGTCAGTGTAGACAACCCTGAGCTAGATGGACCAACTGTCTGACTTGGTAGAAGGCAGCTCCCTATGTCCCTGGGATGCAAATTGACAAAACACAAAAGCAAATTTGCTGGTGCATAGTTACAAACTGTGAAATTCACTGCCACAAACCATTTGTCTAGATGGGTTTCTAATGACAAATCCATGAGTAGAACCTTCAATAGCTATTAGCCGTTAGTACCCAAATCAAACCTCTGTGTCCAATACGTTCATAGGTTATATATACACACCTCTGAGTACCGGATACATTGTTGCCAAACAGACAATGACCACTGTATTCACCTGATGCTTCTGAGCATCCAGAGGTTAATGGCAGGCTGTGCCAAAAGAATTAAATGAATCGTGGCCTGGTTCAGCTGTGCAACGCATATGCTCTCAGTAAATCTTCCCCAGAAAAGTCATTTTAAAACTCAAGTTGTTTTCCCCCCCAGCCCCTTTCCCCTGTATGACTTCTAATCCACTGAACAAATAATTCAGATAAATCAGAACTATGTAGCATCAATATGCTCTCTTAACTAATTACTATTGATCATTTCAGCACAAGAGGCATGGCACACCTGCAAGTCCCACAAGTGATATGTTTTTGCTTTCATATGATAAGTGCTATTAAATAAACCTTATTACTAAATAGGAGTCTCCCTGCAAATGCTTAAAACGCTAAGAATGGTGAGTTCTTTGCAGATAGTTCACTGCAGACTGAGGGTTCAAACTCTGCAGGCTGGTTTAAAAACAAGCAGAGATCCTTTACATAGCAGGCTACGTTATAACGCTGGTGCATGTAATTTAGTATTGGCTACAATATACAGTACTAAGTAGCAGAAGCTCTCCAGGATTTTATTTGGAAGTCCTATTAGGTTCACTGGGATTTCCCGCACGTATAGGATAGCAGGCTTACACGCACGTCAAAGACCTTCTTCATTAGAATAGAGATGTCAGTGTTTAAATCGCTGCACGTTACGCATAGTGTTACTAATATAACGGAGCTTCCACAGGCTCCTTTGCTTTCCTTTTCAGAAAGGTCATCATAGGATCAAAATCAAAACGGGATAGGCCAAACAAAACAGTTGCGATTGTAAGGTCGGCAGGTTAAAAGGAGAAAAAACCGCCACCAGTAATGGGAACAGAATAAACTGCCACCTTGTATTTCAGGAGAGCGAGTCCGTTAATCTCAATTACTCCTACTCCCGGGTAAACATGCATTGGATCGGGCCGCGATCCTTTACAGTAGAGGAAATCCTTTTTGGGTAGTGGGTCGAGATTTGGGTGCGGGAAGATACTTCCCAGTAAACTTGCATGGGACGCTATCCGCATTTACAGGAGAGTAAGTCCCTTCCGAACCCCAGGAGCGCGACTTCCGAAGAAACACGCAAAGGATCGGGCTGCTGCAATGTCAAAAGAGAGGCAACTCTGGTCAGGCGGCCGTCAACTTTTCTCTGCTTTGGGGGTGGGCTGCAAAGAGCGAGCGCGCAATGCTGCAGAAGAAGAGAGGGGAAAGGAAAGCCCGCACAAAATGCGAGCGCAGGTTGCTGCTCGGCTGGCGCTGCATTTGCCGCGGACGCTGCTCCGCTTCGGGGGAGGACTCGCGCGGCTGCGGCTGCTGCAGGCATCGGAGGAGCATGGCGGGGGTGTTTGGCTGCCAGGCGGGCTGGCGAGCGAAGGAGAGGAGAAGCGAGGGGGGCGGGCGGGCGGGCGGGCGAGCAAGGCGGCATTTCGGGGCGTGCGTGCCTGTGTGCAGGGCTCCCCCAGCAGCGGCGAGGAGGCCGGGCCTCGACGCCAGCCAGCCCGCGTCGCTTCCCTCCTCCTCCTCCTCCTCCCGGTTCGGGGGGTCCCCGGGCTCGGCCCCCGAACGCCCCTCTCTTCCGTTCGCCATGTCATTTCCTGTGCTAATAAGATGGTGGTCACGGCCGGGAGGGAGGGAGCCGCCGCCGCCGCCTCCTTCTCCGCCGCCAAGCCCGGCCCGCCCGGGGGACCCGTCCTCGCCTGGGACTAGCGCGCCAGGCTGGGCTGGCCGGGCCGGCGCCGAAGGAGGGGGACGGCGACGAGGCAGCGGGCGCCGCGGAGGGCCGCCGCCGCGGGCAGAGCCGGGCTGCCCCCAGACGACGAGCCAGGGCCCCGCAGCGACGAGGTGAGTCAGCCCTTCGGTAGCCAAGGTGGCCACGGAAAATGGCTGCGGAGCGAGCGAGGGGAGGGCGGCGGGCGGGCGGGCGCCGGCCGGGGAAGCCGCGGACGGAGCCCTCGCCGAGGAAGGGGGCGACTGTGCTGGGGGGGCGCCTCTTTGCACAACACTCGCCCGAGGGCGCGGCTGGGCGGGCAGGTAAGTAAGTAGCCGCCTCGCTTCCCTCTCCCCCCCTCCTCCTTCTCTGTTGGGGCGAGCGCTGAGCTCGGCCCCTTCCTCTCCCTCCCTCCCCTTCCAGCGCCTCCTTCTCTTCCCTGCCTGCCTGCCTGCCCGCTCGCTCGCTCTTTTTTCTTTCCCTCCACCCCTCCCCGTTTCATTAAATCCGGTGAGTGACGCGGCCGCGGCCCAATGGGCGGTCGCAGAGGACGGCGAGTATTCGGGGATGGAACGTAGGGGCGGGCCGCCAAAGAACGGAGTGACTTTGGAAGCGCCGTCGCGGGGAAGGAGGAGGGGAGGCCAGGCAGGCAGGCGGGAGGGTCGCGTCTGTGTCTTCTCGCCTTCCGTTCTTATCGCCCTGTGCAAGGGAACGGAGAGAGAGGCCGCGCGGTCCGCAACCGGTTGCAGCTTAAGCTTGCCGTGCAACAACATGCACGGGGGGAAAGAAAGCGGCGCAGCGGTCACGAGGGCGTTGCACCGGGAGGCCTGTCTTTGGGATGGGGCCGGGCGGACTGGAATGGGCTCCGAGGGAGGGTGGCTGCGCGACTTGTGCCTATGAGCGCTTGGTGCGGGTACGTGGACGACAGAGAGGTATATGGAGGTTTGGTTTGCAGGACGCATCCACGATGCCTTTCCGGGCAGGAAGTAACCAACAGTCGGCACTACGTGGGTCCTCGTTTTTGCGTGCTTTCCTGCTCCCGTAGAGAAGGGTGCGGTGGATGTTGCAAACCTATTCTTCAGCTATACATATATCTCCCCAACACAAATGATCAGAAACTCATCTCTCCCCCCCCCACCCCCACAAATGGTCAGAAACGGGGGCAAGTCCAGAGGTTTTTTTAGCTTAGTGAAAAAAGCAAGTGGGTGAGGGGAACATGAAAGAGGTGGGTAGACTGATGTCTGGTTCCTGTAAATTCCTATAAATTCTGATAGTTGTTACAAAAGACCTTTTGCTTAATTACTTGTGGTCCCCAATCTAAGGAATAATGATTACTAGACATCATTTTATATCTGTAATGATTTAATAATTTTGGCATGTATGCTTTGACACAACTTTGTTAATCTATTCAGAAACGTTTATTTGTGTGTTCATTGCTGTTTTGCTTTTGTTTTTAACCATGTAATTGTTGCACGTCATAAGCTCTAATGTAAACAAAGATACATCTCAATGCAACCGTACTTAAAGATGAAAATGAATAAAGCTAAGTTAGAAAAAATAATGTCTTGTGTGGTGAAAATGAGTAGGGAGAAGCGTCTCAAAACCTAGGGAAGCTGAATGATCGCAGATTCAGGGCATACAAAGGAAAGAATTTCTTCATGCAACATGTAAATTAGGCTTCACCTGCCTTGTAAATCTAAAGCACTTGCATAGGACTTTAAGCAGTTTAGCCTTCTCTCAAAGAATCATGGGAACTATAGTTTGTTGGGAGTGCTCAGTGTTGTTGGGAGACCTGTGTTTCCCCTCAGAGCTACAATTTCCCGAGTTCCCTGGGAAGAGTGATTGGTTCTTAAAGCCTTCTAGGAATTGTAGCTTCATGAGGGGAATAGGGTGTTTCCCAAAGGACTCTTAACAAACTACAGTTCCTGGGATCTTGTGCGGGGTGTGTGTGTGTGGAGAGAAACATGACTGTGCTTTAAATGTATACTGCAGATGGGGCCTCAAACTGTGGAGTCTGTTACCGGCTGTGATGGCTCTGAAATGGGATTAGGTGAAATCATGAAGGATAAGTCTCAATGGATGCTAGTCAAGATGACTGCTACCTCCAGGATCAGACACAGCATGCCCCTGAATACCAGTTGCTAAGGAGAAACAGCAGGAGAGGGCAATTGTGCTTGTGTCCTGCTTTGGGCCTCTCAAATGCATCTGGTTTGCTCTCCTGAGAACAGAACGCTGGACCAGATAAGCATTTGGTTTGATCCAACAGGGCTCTTTGCTTGATTCCTTTTCATTGGCTATAATAAGAATATCCATATTGGTCCAGGTCAACTTTATGCTGCTGAAGTGATTCTTCCTTTATAACCTATACTGTAGTTTAAACAAATCTTCATCAGACTGACTACTTGAGTTTAAGCCACACTGGAAAAGGGTGTGCATAGAACTGTAGCCCCTGAAGGAGTTGAAATACTGTATAAAGGACAGATCCAAAAATGAAGTACACGTAGCCCTAAGTAGTTGGATGAACTTATCTGGCTATGATATGTGTGTGAATGAATTGGCATTACCAGCTATATAGAAAGGGAATATACATGCTTAAGTTTGAATTAATTCCATATTGGTGGTCAAGGAATTTGATTTATCCAGATTTGCAGAGAAAACGTGGCAACCAGAATTGAATATTTTTGTTCTTCTGTGCTCAAACATCTCCATCATTTTTTAGGTTACATTTGTGCAGTAAATGCAAATCATCCTAACACTAAACAAATATTTACTATGTTTTTGACACTTTGCGGTTGAATTCTAGAAATAAGTTGATAGCTTGTTGGTTCATATTTGAAGTAAAAATAATAGTTAAGCATGCTACCATTTGCCATCTGTAGTGTAGTAGAAAATACATGCAATGGCATATGAAGAAGTGAATTGTTATTTGGCATAGAATGCTTTTTTATTAGATGATTTTGAGGGATTTTGTGTTAAGGCTGTTGCAGAAGAAACAAGATCTGCATGTTTCATGTTGCAGTGATAAATACTTGGGAGACTGATTTTTATTCATTGTTTAATAAGGTTGTGATCCTGTGCAGTTTACCCTCCCAGAACAAATCCCAAATAAAGCGTTTGAGTAGTGGGAGCTTTTTGGCTCCTAGCTGGGGTGGATAGGTGGGCAGTTCTATCCTAGTTGTGTATTTTCCACTCCACGCACTTCTCCATCTACATATACCGTATTTTTCGCCCCATAGGGCGCACCGGCCCATAGGACACACCTAGTTTTTTTAGGGTGGGGGGAAATAAAGAAAAAAAATTATTTCCCCCCCAGGCGCGGGGCTGGGGCGGGGGAAGCCCGAGCTTCCCACGACCCCAGCCCCCAGAACAGACAGCTCTCCGCAAGCCTTGGAGACCGGTGCTGGGCTCCCACGCCTTGTGGATATCTGCCTGAAGCCCAAACCAGGTCGGGCGACAGCGGGAAGGCGCACTGTGCCTCCCCGCTGTCCCCCGAGCTTCTGGGGCTGGCAGCGGGGAGAAGCGCGCTTCTCCCCACCGCCAGCCTCCAAACCAGGTCGGGGAACCGAAGCCCGGGGCGCGCACAGCGAGATGCTTCGAGATGCAGGCTGCTATCCACAAGCCTAGGCTCCCAAGGCTTGCGGAGAGCTTCCTGAAGCCTGGAGAGCGAGAGGGGAGAAAGAGCGCGCACCAACTCCTCTCACTCTCCAGGCTTCAGCAAAAGCCTGCATTCGCCCCATAGGACGCACACACATTTCCCCTTCATTTTTGGAGGGGGAAAAGTGCGTCCTATAGGGCGAAAAGGGGCGCGGGTGGCGCTGTGGGTAAAACCACAGTGCCTAGGGCTTGCCGATCGTATGGTCGGCGGTTCGAATTCCTGCGGCGGGGTGAGCTCCCGTCTTTCGGTCCCAGCTCCTGCCCACCTAGCAGTTCGAAAGCACCCCTAAGTGCAAGTAGATAAATAGGTACCGCTTTATAGCGGGAAGGTAATCGGCATTTCCGTGTGCTGCGCTGGTGCTGGCTCGCCAGAGCAGCTTCGTCACGCTGGCCACGTGACCCGGAAGCGTCTCCGGACAGCGCTGGCCCCCGGCCTCTTAAGTGAGATGGGCGCACAACCCTAGAGTCGGACACGACTGGCCCGTACGGGCAGGGGTACCTTTACCTTTACCTATAGGGCGAAAAATACGGTAATCTCTGTGGGTGGGAAGGTGGTTGAGTGAGTGGTCTCTCTTGGCAGCTTAATCCACAACTGGACACCAGTTCTCTGCACTGCGGATCTGTATTCTAAACTGAGCATGACACTGAGAGCCCTGCTAGATCACCAGTATTCTGTTCTCACAGTGGCTGACCAGATGCCTAAGAGACCTGAGTGCAACAGCGCTCTTCCCACTTGCGATTCCCAGCAGTTGCTATTCAGAGGCACACTTCCTCTGAAATTGTAGGTAGAAAATAGCCATCATGGCCAGCCTCATTTACCTGAAACTGAGACTGCCATAATCTCAATCAGATTAGAGATTAATAAAGAGAACTGTACCAAATCAATCTTGTTAATCTTTCTATGGTCTTTGATAGTGTTGTTCGTGGCATGTTTACTAACATACTAACAGTTTACTAACAGTCCATACAATGGACTGTGGGACATTGTTACAGTTTGTGGATGATAAAGCCCTTGGTGTACGGTGTAAAACTTGAAATTAGCATTTCTGACCAGCTGATGGGACAGTAGCCAACTACTGTGTCCTGTCGTAGCAAGGATATATACTTTTGCATCTGAAGTTCTCTTTCTCTCATTCAAGCCCTGTACCCTCTCCAAATCTGCTCCAGAGGATTGGGGGAACCATGAACAGATTTAGGAGGCAGGTAGGGGAGGAGACGAGCTGATTGTATTGTGCAAGCAGGAATCTGTGCACTGACACAACATTCATAAAGTACTAGGTTGGATATATTCCTTAGTGTCTGTTGCAGAATGCAGTCTTAAAATGTGGAAAGTTGCCATTGGTCTGCTTCTGGCAAGTCATGAATGTGTCCTCCAGTTTCACTAAGCCAAGTGGGACAGATTGTGCAGAGTCTCGTGTCTCTGTTGAGGCTTTGTCAATAGACTACTGAGCCTCTTGGGCTTGCCGATCTGAAGGCCGGCGGTTCAAATCTCTGCGACAGGGTGAGCTCCCATTGCTGTGTCCCAGCTTCTGCCAACCTAGCAGTTCAAGAGCTTACCAGTGTGAGTGGATAAATAGGTACCACTGTGATGGGAAAGTAAATGGTGTTTCCATGCGCTCTGGTTTCCATCACGGTGTTCCGTTGCGCCAGAAGCGGTTTAGTCATGCTGGCCACATGACCCAGAAAACTGGACAAGCACCAGCTCCCTCGACCTGAAGCAAGATGTGCGCCACAACCCCATAGTTGCGTTTGACTGGACTTGACTGTCCAGGGGTCCTATACCTTTACCTGTGTGTTTCAAAGTAGCAGAGAAGAGGGAGTGTTGGCTATTTAAATTCTAGACATAAATACACTTTTGCTATTGCTTACTTTAATTTTTCTACTTAATTCACTAACAATCACATAGTGTTTCCAGATGTGTCTTTAACTTAGGGCTTGAGCTGGTTTTCAACATTGCGATATACTACCAGCTAAACAACACAATATACCGCTATATCATGATGTCTGAAATAAAAATGGAGATATGTTAGAGGCATTGGGTAGTTTCACAGTTTTCCCCACATTGTGATTTTTGCATGATTCACAATATATTGGTAGGTCAGAAATTATGAAACTGATAACACGATATGGACTTCAAACTAGTTTTGGACAATATATTACCCAGCCCTAACACACATCTTGGTTTGTGATATATTGTCAGGTCAAATCAATATAACAATACAGACTTCAAAACTGTTTTGGATGCCCAGGTCTATTAACCATTCTAGTCCACTTTAGAACAGAAAAAGAACTGACTGAGCGAGGCAGGTGTACTTGTTTGCTAAACTGCGGGTCTGAGATAGGTATGAGGTAAGAAGGCAGTGCAGGCAATTTCTGAAAAGATGTAGAGCAGGTCTGAACTGGAAAACACTAGCATAGTGATAGCTTTAATGTACTACACTCAACATGCAGTACTTACCTATAAAATAAACATACAAGAGAGCTGCCATCTGGCCAGTTTTAAACCAGTCTGACAGCTTTTCTTGGCATTTTAAACGTATGCTTAAGAGACCTCCCCCCCATTACAAGAGAAGAGAATGGTGGCAAGATCTGATAATTATAAATTACTGCATTGGCTGTTTTGAAGCATTTTTATGAAATTGACAGACAAAACAGTAAATTTGACCATCTCCTTTAGCTTCAGATGTGACACCTTTCTTTGAACAGGGTTATAACAACTTGCTGGTGTTAAGCATAAATCGTTTTGCCATTAGTAGGGGAATATACACACAACTCTGTATACCAGACATAGCATGCAGTTTCTGGTGCAGAGTCCTGTATTGTAATGAAAAGTGTGGAAAACTTGCTACTACAATGCATCTAGTGATTGCTATTACAGCTATATCCCACTATTCCTCCAAGGAGCTCCAAGTGGTGTGTGTAGTTGTTAGAACTAATTTAAACTTTTGAATTCTCACATGTAATCCATTTTTTTAAAAAATCCAGTGGCATTTCAAATGCATTTGGGGCCTCAGAACTTGTGGAAAACTTACGGTGAAATAGGAAGTACAATGAGAAAAATTTGGGGGCAAGCTTTTCAATTCCAGAGGAAAAAAACATTGTTAATGTTTTTCCCAAGCAATAAAAAACATGATGTGTAAGAAGGGCCTCTGAAAGTGCTCAGTATGGGAAGGCCTCAGGGCATGGTCTGAAGGGGCTTGATGGTTGCCCCTGTGTGGAAGCCAACTGTCAGGATCAAAGTTGCCTGTGAATGCATCCATGAATAGCCATATGACCCTCTCTATTTGGAATATGTTTTCGTAAAGTCACCCATACTTTTTAGTACTGTTATGCTGTTGGTTTAACCGATTGATTTAATCACTTGTATTTGTGTTTGATGCTTTTGCATCAAAGGCAGCCCTGGGGTTTCTTGATGGTTTGGGACTGACCAGTCCCAGCAATCTGCATGGTAGATCGTTAGCATGGGAACTCTGTGTGCACTGCCATTTGAGTTCCATGAAATAAGTGTGGGATATAAATGAGAACACAGCAAGATGTAGAATGCTTCAAAAGTAATTGGGGGAGTATAGCAGGAGACTTAGATCCTTGTTTCTCTATCCTGTTCCAGGCTCTGTTTTAACTGATTTGAGAGCAGGGAGCATTCCCATCAGTTACCATATTGCTAATGTACTCTGCAGTGCATTTGTAGCATGATGGAGCTTCAATAAATATGATACTAAGATATGAGGAAGGGGTTTGGCACGGTGCATTGTGCTTATTTGCAACTAACTTTTCTTCTTGCCCTGCTGTGCGATATCAATCCTTAGGTAAAGGGACCCCTGAACCATTAGGTCCAGTCGTGGCCGACTCTGGGGTTGTGGCGCTCATCTCGCTTTATTGGCCGAGGGAGCTGGCGTACAACTTCCAGGTCATGTGGCCAGCATGACTAAGCTGCTTCTGGTGAACCAGAGCAGCGCACAGAAACACTTTTTACCTTCCCACCGGAGCGGTACCTATTTATCTACTTGTCTACTTGCACTTTGACGTGCTTTCGAATTGCTAGGTTGGCAGGAGCAGGAACCGAGCAATGGGACCTCACCCCATTGCAAGGATTTGAACCACCAACCATCTGATTGGCAAGTCCTAGGCTCTGTGGTTTAACCCACAGCGCCACCTTAGGGTAACTTCTGTTTCAATTCTCTTAAATCCATTAGAAGCATCACGTGGCTATTCTACAGCTAACTTCACCTTGGCATTTACATCAATCTTGTGACCCAGCAATATTTTCTTCATTCTTAAGGTGTGACCAACAGTTCTATAGACACTTAGACACAATGAGTAAAGTCCAGTGGTAGAAGGCCGTTTGTGCAGCCAATCTGCCTACCTCCCCAGGACGACACAATACTGGGAGGGGGCTCCTGAACAACATCCCTTGTGTTGCACAGAACTGCAGTGTGAGGGGAGAATTGCCTGAAGGCAGGTGGTGCATGGGTGTCCTGTACCAGTGGTGTCTGGCTCTATGCAATATTGCAATTTTAAGTTTGCAAGGGGTTATGCCATGCATATAACCCAATATTTGCAATACAGTTTTACCATATTTTTCCATCTATAAGACGGCCCCTATTTGGGGGGACTCCGATTTAAGAAAATGGGGGGAATTGTATCTGCGTATAAGACACCCCCTAATTTCTGACATTATTTTTTAGGGAAAACTAGTCTTATACACGGAAAAATGCTGTATTTTGTTTTGCATGAATGATGCTAAGGCAACAAGTTGAGGGATATTCTGAAAAACAGTATATCCATATAAGATCTAAACCAAATACTGCAAAAAGGCATCAATATTATTTTGACTGGAAGTTTTGCACCAAGCCTCAAGGCCCATGTAATCATGGTTGCAGAATTAACCTAGTCTTCTTTATCCTGCTGTCTCCATAGCACTTCAGCTTATTGAACAGCTATGAATAGCTTGGATTCTCAGAAACCCAGGACCTGAGTAAGACAGGACTTCTGGAAGTTTAAAACCAGCAGCTTCAGTTAAACTTAGAAATTTATGATCAGCACTCATTCCCTGTTGAGTGCATGGCAAGACTTTAGGTAGGGTGCCCAGTTAAGCAAGCAAGAAGCTTAGACAAAGCACTTGCAACTGGATTAACACCTGTAGCTGCAAAAGCTGCCCATCTCGGTCAGATGAGCCAGGCAGAAGAATGCTGCAAGAAGACTGACAAAGCTTTCTGAAGACACCAATGTTCTATTAATGCTACATGCCACCCCAAAAGATTCCAGGGGTACCAGGCGCACTTACCAAGGTCTCTGTTTCCTTCTGGAAAAATGAGGCACAGCAGAGACTATGATGTCTTTATGACATATGATTTATTTACACATATATACAACCTGAAGCCTAGCATTCCCCCCATTCCAGGGGGTCTCCCTTGCTCTTCCTATAGATGCACATGGCAGGCTTGGCTTTAAAAGCAGAGAAATCAGCCATGCTCTGTGTCTCTTTGTTACAGCCCATCCCAGTTTGCTCACATGGTGTCCTTGCTAGCTACCAGCAACATACAAACAAATATAAGCAACTGTGAGGTTTGGTTCATCAGTTGATTGCTGTGGTCTGTGATAACAGAAATATGACCCATGAGCTGGAATTAATAAAGTTGCGTAACTTAGTGTGCAAATCCACCCCCTCCCCCCACCTTTTTATTGACGCACTTGCTCATGTCGACCAATGTTATTTTTACAAGCCTGGTATAAATACTTTTGGGTTTGGTGCACATCACTCTCATGTTCTTGGCACTGGCAAAGGCATAAGAGAGAAGCAGAAAAGAAAACAATGTTCGTTCGTTCACTTTAAGTGTCATATAGAGCTGCACGTGGGAATCTAGAACAGAAATGTGTTGGGCATCAAGCTGTCTATTTCCATCAGGCTCCCCCACCGCCATTGCTGGTTGGTTCCTCATTGGAGACTGGCTGACCTTTAAGCCTTTTTTATAGTAGCTGGATGAGTTGATGAAATTGGGAGTTCTTATGCTGGGGAGCACCTCACTCCCCAAAGAGAGGTGCCTCCTCACACCGCCGCCCCCCAGGGGCTTGGGAAGAGGATGCCTCCATCCTTGTGAGGCCAGCACCTTCCTCACCTTAGGAGGCAGCATTGGCAGCAGCGGGTGCTGCCGGGCCTGCATGACTGAAAGGCTCCTCTTTGGCGCTGGGCACTCAGCTCCCAGGCAGGCCTTGCACACAGCAAGCACAAGAAAGACCAGTGTACTGCCTGCCTGCCCAACCTCCTGTTTTCCCGTCCATTCCCAACAGCAAGGGCTGTGGGGCTGGGTTCCTTTGCCCTCTTGCTTGCTTACTCCGAGGCTGCCTTAGCTCCTGGCAACCAGCACGCCCTGGCCAGCCCCAGAGGCACCATTCACCTGGGGAGCTTGTAGCCAGGGCTGCTGCAACAAACAGCTGTGCAAGCCTTTGGGAGGCAGAGACATGAGAGGGCATCAGAGAAAGGGAGGGAGGGGAGGAAGGAAGGAAGGAAGGAAAGAGGGATGGAGGCCAGTGTTGCCTACGGCACCCCTGACCATCATTCAAGGCACCCCAAGGTGCCATGACACACTGGTTGAAAACTACACCAAAGGTTTGAGACTCATCAGCTAACCTCACCTGGTTTACCTCTCTCTGACACCTCCAAGGCCTAGTGATGGTGAGCAAAAATGGTGGTGAGCAAAAATGATTCAACACCCTTTAGGTTCCAGCAGCAATTTACCATTTTTTGTTGAGTAATATTTAGGTATTGAGGTATGTACTGTAATAAATTTATTTATGACAGCCCAAACAGGAATATGATACCAAAAAGAATTATAATTAACAAAAGTTCGACAAGTTGCAGGAATGGAGACATCAGTGTTTTAAATGAGCTTGAGAGAGGAGGACATAACTGTTTGGCAGGCCTTTCCGGAAAAGATACATTTATAGATACTGTAACGGAAAAGACTTTGTTCATGTATTAGACCATACCTTCAGTGTTACATAAACTATTCTTTTAAGTTCTCGGTAAACTAAATGTATGGCTTACCTTTTTAAAAGGTGTTTTTTCTCTGCATAGCTATTTTTGGAATATAGTTTACCTTTGCTTCAGTTCAATGAAGGTTTGTTTTGAATATATTTCATGCAATCTCTCCTCTAAAATCTGGCACCAGATTCAGGGTTTTCTGATAAGACCAGAATTGGCAGCGGAGGCATTGGGGAGCAAGGTGGAGGAAGAGGGCCTGGCTTTTTAAAATGGAAACCTTGTGCGTGGCTGTATTCAGTGTTCTCACTAGTTCCGAAATGTCCTTTGGAAGAGTTTCAAGAGCCTTTTCTACCTTGAATTGTTTGTGCCAAAGCTTGTATCTGCAAGAAGCGTTGCTGTTTGGAATGGAAGATGCCAGAGGAGACCCCTCCCTCCAGAAGCTACTGCATGCACGGAATGCTTCTTTTTCTTTATATCGCTATTTCCTTCCAATGCTGCCGCATTGCATTTCATGCATCTAGCATGAATTCCTTAGTTATTTTTCTTTTAAAAAATGTTTCATAGAATCATAGCATTCTGGATTTGGAAGGGACCCTGAGGATCATCTAGTCCAACCCGCTTCAGTGTAGGAATATGCTGCTGTTCCATATAGGGATCAGACCTTCAACCTTGGCATTATCAGTGCCACACTCTAACCAACTGAGCTGCCAATGGTGAATTTTATTATTTCCGTTGGCAAGTGAACACATACTTGCATGTTTTGATAATGGGTTGCCTCGGAACATTCAAATAAGCTGCTGTCCACAGGACTTAGGGGTAGTTCTTGTGGGTTGGACGTCATACTCATCTGCAACAAATCCCGAGCCCCATGAATAATGGGTGCTGGACACTCCAGACAGGCAAAGATTGTTGTCTGAAGTAATTAACCATAACATGAAGACAGACGTGCTTTTGGTGGTAGGATGGAAAGAGAAAAGCCTCTTGTGACCTCCCTGCACAGCAGTATTTATCATCTTTTCAGTCTGTGTGAGAGTCCTAGAGGCCAGAAGGGTACACTGGGCTGGAAAGGCGACATGGCTAGTATGTGTTTCTGCAAACTATTGATGCATTCCTGGCTGCTACTGGAAATCATTCCAAGATTGATTCAAGTTGCTGAGTGTCACAGGAGGGGGACCCAGATGCTTTACAAAAAGAGGTGTGTGTGTGTGTGTGTGTGTGTGTAGATATATACGGCTGACTTTCCCAGGATCTGCCCTTTTCTTGGAGAATCTGTACGAGCTCCTCACTTGTACATTTACTATTTGCTGCATTTTCTTCCCACTCTTGTTCCAAGGCGCTCTGGGCATTGTGCATGGTTGTCCTCCCTGCTTTCCTACATCAAAGGGTTGCTGTGTATCTCTTTTATGAGATACAGAGAGGAACGTAGGAGCTGCCTTATACCGATTCTGGTCCAGAATGGCAGCAGCTGTCCCAAGATTTCCGAGAGAAGTCCTTTCCAGCCCTACTTGCAGATGGCATTATTTTAGTTTCTTTATTTTTTCAGTTTCAAAAACTACTTATAGCACCCAATCCGCATATAACCCCACCCCCCAAGAAACACCCATTGCATATACAAAGTAAAGGATACAGCCAGACATTAAGCAAGGTTGTCCAGCAGGTTAGAGTTGCTTATAGCAGTGAAGGTCTCCTACTCTCCATCTTAACAGGTTGTCCCAGAGTGAGCCACGGGTAGCTGGTGGCAATTGTCCTTTCTGGTGTACTGAATAAGAATGTGCCATGTGATTTCAAAATCAAATTTGGTCTTTGGGTTCCTGAATGCTATAAGATGGTAGAGATTGAACCTTGAATCTTTTGTACACAAAACTCTGTTCTTACTACTGACCTGTGGACCTTCTTCAAGGTCACCCAGTAAGCTACATGTCTTAGTGGGGTTTTGAACTTGGGTTTCCCAAGTGCCTGTGACATGAAGGAGTTGCTGAGAGTTTTGTTAAACAGTACCTTTTTCTGCTTTTTTGTGAAAACAAAGGAATGATAGGTATAATTTTCAGAGCTGCTTTGTCTTCATATGTGTGCACTTCAGTTAAATTCTTGCTGTATGGAAAGCAAGCAAGCAAGAAGAAAAATAGCACTCAAGAATTCAGCATGGGAATCTGACTTACTTAATTTTATTTTTGGCCAATTTGATGCTAGAAGGAATTTAGACTGGGGAATGTGGGTCAAAATGACCTTGTGCTGGTGCAAGCTGTCCAAAGGGAGCTGTCCAAAAGAAGCTCCAACCATGTAGATTTACCAGCTCTAAAAAACCATCAGTTGTAGTATGAGATCTTTATCTACTAATGACTTAACCAAAAAAGCAGAATGGAGGGCAGGGAGGCAAATATTTTGCCTTTGCTGTTTTATAGAAAAGAGTTCTTGGCTTTCTTCATTTTTTAAAATAACTGATGTTTCTAAACTGCAGTGCTGTTAGAAATCCAGCATTACTAAGCACGTGAGGCCCTTTTTTTGACATTAGCAGGCAAGAGCTGCCGCACTGTGGCTCCTTTGAGAAGGCAACCCAGTAGTGTTAGAACCTGAAGGCTGCAGTTGCAGGGGACAAATCCACATTGCTGCACCATTTCATGCTGGTGTTTGCATTCATAGAAACAGGATGGAGCTACAACCGTAACTTGCAATGACTGTGGCCTTCCAGTGTTACTTAGCTGCATGGGAAAGGGCCATACTCCTGTGTCACCCATGCTGCTCAAGGTAATCTCAGAAGTACCTGAACAAAAGATGAAACAGATGCCAGTGTGTTATTGCATTGTGCTTACTCCATTCCCATCCTGATGTCATTGTATTGAGGGTAAAACTGAAATTGGAAGTAGCATGATACGTAAGAACAAGCTGAACTGGCAGTTATTTTATATCTTTTAAGGGCAGATCAACAAGGCAGAGTTCATAGCTGTTTCCAGCATCGCATATTGTAGTAAGTCCCTGTCTGTCTGCAAAGTTGCCTGTTCAGAAGTGAAGCAAGCATATGTGTTCAACTCTTCAATTGATGCTTGCATGTGTTTGTATTTTCAAAATAAAACATCGTGAGTTACCAAAAGTTGTGTTTCTTTGTACTTCCCTGACCGAGTCGCTGATATATAAGAGCACATGAGGGACAGGTTTTTTTTATACATTTGTCTGCTGTTTTCAAAGGATTTTTTATCTTGTCTCAGCATAAAGCTATGCAGGCAACTGCAATATTTAAAAATAGATGACAATTGAAAAACCTCAGTTGAAACTCGCAAGATGACAGCAGAATTAAAATGCCCATTAAAGCCAAGGCAGAGGTCAAATCACCCATTATGAGCAAAGATAATGATGATCATAATGATAATAGTTATATTATTTATACCCTGCCCACCTGGCTGGATTGCCCCAACCACCATAAAACATCAGACATTAAAAACCTCCAGAGACAGGGCTAAAAGTTGTATAGCTATTTATCTCCTTGACATCCAATGGGAGGGCGTTCCTGCCTTTGCCATGTGGCTAAAAACTGAGATTAGGTGCAAGTTGAGTTGGGGGAAATATTTCACTGTCAGGGCAATGCCACTGACAAATCCCAGGTGACAATCAATCCAGTTGAAGTAAACCCATTGAAATCAATGGGTCTGCTGCAAGTAGGATTAACATTGGATATCACACTATCTCTGGTCTCCACTGCCTCCCCTCTGAAGCTGATGATACCTGGAATAGAGCCTTGGAGGAAGATCTTAGAAAAGGTTCAAATGAACCTTTCATATGTCCTCAGGCCGTGGAACAGGAGTGCCTGGGAAACTGTTTGGGAACTCAGTTGAAATATCCAGTGCCACCCTGAGAAGGACAACCCTGAAAGGGGACCTAGAAATCTGGAAAGTGAACAGAACTATTTACCCTTCTCTCCATCTTTGAATTTCTTACAGAACATGAGTGAAAAACTGAACGATTGTTTGGGGGAAATGGTAACTATCAAGACGGAACCCTGCTCTCCATGCCAGGAAGACGAATATGGGCAACTCTGGTAAGGAGATTTCAAGCCAACTCTGTGGAAACCCCTTTCCATATTGATATGCTTGCTAAGGAGCAACTGTGCATCTTCCAAGGGCTGTATGCCTGCTAAAAACATTTTTGTTTGGACAAAGCCTACCCAGATATTTAGAATGTTGATGCATGTTTTAATCTGTTTTTTGTTCTTTGAATTTTTTGATTTTTTTTTAATGCATTGTTGATTTTTTTAAATAAAAAAATATATAGGGCGCTTTGAGGTGGTTTGGGGTTGTTTTTTACTATCAAGAGGTGCATAGATTTTATAAAATAAATAATTAAATGGGCCATCACCCCAAAACACAAAAGTCCCTTGTACCTGTGCATCATGGTTTTGCCCTGGAGAAATGTCAAGCTTCCTAGGAACATGGTTTTTTTTAAAAAAAAAAGTCTACGTGATCCATGTTTCACCTATAAGTAAGAGCGTTTTAATATGTTTGCATTGTGATTAGAGCTGACAGCACAGCTAAATTCCTGCATTGCAAGGCGTTGGACTAGATGACCCGTGTGGTCCATTTCCAACTCTACAGTTCTATGCTTCTATGATCTAGGACTGTACAACCAGTGGATCCCAGGGCAACACACCAATTGAGGAGTCACATCCTTATTGCTCTGCTTAAGACTGTAGGAGCATGCTGTAGTGCTGTAATTCACAATAAGTGCATGCTTACAAATTGAAACTTCTGTTTTAAATATCATCATGAAAGTGTTTTAATGCTTGTAGCTTATCGGGCTCAATGTTTTTTCTTTGCCATAAGAGCCAGTGTTTACTCACTGTGTTTACTCCCTAAAAAAGTGCTTGCTATAGTGATTGTTACTAATACATGATTTGGTGGTATGCTCAGTAGAAGCCTGGGAAGGCCAGTATATTTCAGAAGAACTACATCTGTTGAGTAAAGTAATACAGAAAACAATAGAGAGATATTAATTATGGAGAGTCCAAGAAAGCTGATGTTTATTTTTTGTCTGGATGTTGATAAGAAATGCACTTGCTCTCTTAAACATTTTTTCTTGACCCCTTCCCACAATGTATCTCACACTTGTGTTCTCTTGCTTTCTCATCAAGTTCTGGAAAGGTTGACTCCCAGTCTGTGAATGTGGAGCATAAAAAACTGAAAGGAAAGCAAGATTTGATCATGTCCAAGAGTTTTCAGCAAGTAGATTTCTGGTGTAAGTATCTCACTGGTGAACAAAATGAATTGTTGTATCATTTCCCCCCTTAAGCCTTCAGAAGGGAGAGAAAGTTGTCTGTTGCAACCCCAGCTGCTGAGCTGGAAGAGCTAAGAGAGCCCTTCTTTTTCAGTGCTCCTTGTGTACTGGAGACAGTTTTCAGCATATGCAGGCATGTGCCGTGATTCAGACTAGTCCTTGGCATCAGCTGACATGTAAATAAGGCTAGCGGTCAGAGGTTCCAGAATGGAGATTGAGCAGAACCATTGATAGGCAGACACACTGGCATAGATTCAGATACCAAAGAAAAGAATCCTGCCTCCTTTGTGCCCTAGTTTGTCTGGCATATTTTCCCTTTAATCCTCAGATCTTATTTATTTATTTCAAATTAAATTTCTATCCCACCTTTCCTCCCAAAGAGGTATAGGATGGCAAACATCGGGCAGCAGAACAATACCGTTTTGTTTCTTATAGAAGATTTGTGTTACACAGCGGAGAAATGCCTCCTGTCCTCTGCTACATGTAACACTAGACGACATGAATAGAAATATGCTCTTAATCTTTCTAGGGAACAGCAGAGCCCAACCGTGAAGGAGCTAAATATACTTTATCAGGAGGGACATAACTCAATAATGTAGCTAGCTTTTATTTTAATTTGCAGAAGAGCTCTGTTCTTGGTCCTGTTCCCAACATCACAGTTTCTCGGGGGATGTCATTGTGGATCCTTGGCAGGGATGCTGCAAAACTTTGGTTCCTTGTTATTTTTGCTTTTGCTTTAAATGTGTACATTTCCAGTGCCTGAAATCTGTAGTCCATACTGGCTGAATAATGAAAAGCAAGAGGGTACATTCACCCTGCCAGAGAATTATTTACTAGTCTGAATTTCACAGACTCATATATTTGGAGGGGATCTTATTGTGGTCCAGCTCCCTGCTGGACACAGGAAATCCAGAGCAAATGGCTGCAAATGCAGCAAGGGAGAGCCCACCCCTCTCCCAGGCAATTGGATCCATTGTTACTATTAAGAAATCATCATCCCCTTCACTTAACCCATTTCTCTGAATTATACCTCTCCCTCCCTGCTCATCATTTGTACTCTGACTTTTATGCTTAGAGGAAGTGAGGTGACATTGGCTTGGTTGCTGGTCAGTTTGGCTGACTATATTTTGGCCACCTACATCTGGGAGGAGAAGCATAACAAATCCTCTCAAAGGGAAATAATTCCCCCTTTAACAGAAGACGTCCATTTCACCCTAGATTCCGTCTCTCTAACTGTGCCAACCATTAAAAAATTTTCCCCGGGGAAATTCTAACGGTATTGTAAGCCAGAGACTTGGGGCCAAGAGTTACCATGCCCTCTGCCATCTCCCCTGCTCACTGGCATGGATTTCTGAGCAGTTGCAGGACTGTGTTGTGGGCCTCTACACTACGATGAACTGCAATGCAGGAAGTTTTAAAGGAAATGTTACCTAGGAAGTGGTTGTGTGAATCTGCTCCTGGAAAGGAAAGGCTATGGGGAATGCATTACCTCATCCAGCAAGCAGCAAGTGCCACGTTTTACAAAATCTTCTGGCCCCAAGGGCCCCTGCAGGCAGCAACAGATGAAGGTGTGCTCCCCTCTCTCTGCCCCAACTCTTGGTAAGGAGAGCTGATGTAGCTCAGCCTCACAGCGGTGTCTCTGTGGTGTTGGCTACAGCTGGAGGCCCAAGCAGATGAATTTGGTCTGGATTACAGAGGTCAATTTGTGGGCAAAAATGATAAATGCTGCTTTGCGACAGTGGGTGGATTAGAAGATGCTTTATTATTTCCCCCTGCATGGTTCTGTGAATTATGCCTTCTAGGAAAGCCTTTTCAGTGTTACCTTGGTTTTCGAATAGAATGCGTTCCGGGAGTCCATTTGACTCCCGGAACCGTTTGAAAACCAAAGCGCGGCTTCCGATTGGCCACAGAAGCCACGCTGGACATTTGGCTTCTGAAAATCGTTCGAAAACTGGAGCACTCACTTCCGGGTTTCGATCGTTCGGGAGCCGATTTGTTCGGGAGCCAAGGTGTTAACATAGAGCTAACATTACTTTGCCAGCTGTCAAGGACAGGAACAGTCAGGGACTGCGCACTCGGCTCTTCCCAAGTCTCTGGACAGCATAGGTTCTTCAAGGCTGGAAACTGCTTTCAAAAGCAGTCTGCAAAACTTCCCAAAGCTTAGAATTTTGATGAGAAGTTCTACGTCGCCAATAAGTTTGACGTGACCGTCAGAACCTACGAAAAATAGTTGCGTCCCTTTGATAGTATTCCATGGCCCAGAGTAAAATCTTCTTTCCTCTTGCCCTACAGTCTGTGAGTCCTGCCAGGAGTATTTTGTGGATGAATGTCCAAACCATGGCCCGCCCGTCTTTGTGTCGGATGCTCCAGTCCCCATTGGCATCCCTGACCGAGCTGCTATGACTGTTCCACCTGGCATGGAAGTGGTGAAAGAGCCCAGTGGAGAGCGGGATGTGCGCTGTGTGAACGAAGTTATCCCAAAAGGTCGTATTTTTGGACCGTATGAAGGGAAGCTCTCCAGTCAGGACAAATCTGCAGGATTCTTCTCTTGGCTGGTAAGTATCTCAGTGGTGTGGCTGTGGAGGAACCATTGAGTTCAGTTCTTCAAAACTTGAGTTAAGAAAATATGCTCCCGTGGCTCAGTCACAAAAGGAGCACTTCCTGCTTGCAGCCAGGCTTAAAGTGCAGACTAGAATGGAATACAGCTGTACCTTGCTTTTCACAACTTACTGTATTTTTCGCTCCATAAGGTGCACCTGACCATAGGGTGCACCTAGTTTTCAGAGGGGGAAATCAAGGAAAAAAATATTACCCCCCCCCCCCAGCTCAGGGAGCAGCCTGTCCGCTGCTCTTTGGGGCTGGGGGGGGCGGTTTCCCCCCCAGCCCCAAAGAGCAGCTCAGGGAGATCTTCTTCTTCTCCCTGCTTCTGCGGGAGGTGGGGGAATTCCCCCACCTCCCGCAAAGGCCCACAGGAGCCGCACACCCTTTAAGGAGCGCACGGCTCCTGCGGGCTTTTCTACGAGGAGGGAGAAGGGACTGACTGGCCGCGTCAGTCCCTTCTCCCTCCTGGGGAAAAGCCCGCAAGAGCCGCGGGGGCTTTCCTGCCTGCCTCCCCCCTGCATTCGCTCCATAAGACGCACACACATTTCCCCTTACTTTTTAGGAGGGAAAAAGTGCGTCCTATGGAGCAAAAAATACGGTAGTTCCCGAATGTTTTGGTTCCCGAATGTCGCAAACCCAGAAGTAACTGTTCTGGTTTGCAAACTATTTTTGGAAGCCGAATGTCCAACAGGGCTTCTGACTGGCTACAGGAGCTTCCTGCAGCCAATCAGAAGCCGCGATTTGGTTTTCGAACGTTTTGGAAGTTGGAACAGACTTCTGGAACAGATTCCATTCGACTTCCAAGGTACGACTGTACTAAAAGTCTAGAGCAAGATTTTTACTATTGAAGCATGAGTCCCTTGGAAGCAAACAGTTCTTCTGTAGACTGTCTCCCAGTTCTCTCCCAAGCTTAATGGTAATACTGCCCAAGAGATAACTTAGAATTGAGATGCTTAGAATTGAAAGTAAATTGCTACGTATCTTTCTTCTGGTGGTGTATCCTCCTCCCTCACCTTTCCTCTCTTTCCAGATTGTTGATAAGAACAACCGCTACAAATCCATAGATGGGACCGATGAGACTACATCAAACTGGATGAGGTGAGTCTAGTTCTTGTCTATTTCACCTCCCACTTCCTCCCGTGGGATTTAAGCCCTAGGGGAGGAAGGCTGCATGTTACTTACATTCTTTGTGGTTAGTGCTTTGGAAATGACTGCTGCCTGCCTGAAGCTTTTGCTTTCCGATTTTATCACTCCGCATTCTGGCAAGAGACACACATTTCCGTTTTCTGATCTGCTTCGGTATTTGAGTCGTCAGGCTACATTTGCAGCAAAGAGAAGAGCTTGGATCAACATTGACTCCTCCCAAAGTGGCTCATTGCTTCTTTATTATTCTTTATTATTTGCTTTTCTGTGTTTTTAACAAAATTTGTTGGTTTCCGGGGGTTGTTGGCAAATCAAGAAAAAGGAAATTCTCCCTAACCCATCTTGTTTGGACTTGCTTGTTTATTGAAATTTGTTGTCTTCCTCGTTGGTTATAAAGGCACAATTGGAGAAATAGAATTCATTAGTGTGTTTGGTGCATCTGCAAAGCTAGGAACACCCACAATACAGTGGTACCTCGGGTTAAGTACTTAATTCATTCCGGAGGTCCGTACTTAACCTGAAACTTTTCTTAACCTGAAGCACCACTTTAGCTAATGGGGCCTCCTGCTGCCACCGCGCCGCCGGAGCACGATTTCTCTTCTCATCCTGAAGCAAAGTTCTTAACCCGAGGTACTATTTCTGGGTTAGTCGAGTCTGTAACCTGAAGTGTATGTAACCCGAGGTACCACTGTATTTTTTTTTCTTATTGCCTGTCACTGACAGTTGTGATGTGTTTGTTCCTATTTCATTTTAAATTCCTTTTCCACTCTGCTCATAGAGCACAGAACAGGTTAACCTATTTTAAGGTGTTCCTGCTTTCTCATTCCCTAAAGGACAGCTTTTGAGAGAGGCAGGTGTGTGTGTGTTTATGTTTGTCTGTGCTACTTACAAACTTGGCTCTATAGCAACAGAACTGAAAACACGTTGAAGACACTAATAATGGTGTTGAATTTTCCTTTCTTTTTAAATCCATGCATATATTGTGTTTTTCCCTTCTATAGGTTGGTTAGTTTGTGACTTAATTGTGTTATAGGTGAATCTAAATGAGGCCAAAGAATTATTAATCTAGCTGTGCAAAGCAATCCAGCTGGGAATTTAACAAGTTGATTATATACTTGCAGAAAAGAAAAGGGCAAGCCATTTAGATGTTATATGAGCATTACGAACAGTAGCCATAACACAGTGCTGCAGTGTGGAGTGCTTTTGTCCTACCCAGCCTTACCTTTTTCTGGGTAACTCCATTCCATTCCCCCCTACTTTTCTACTCTCCCCCCCCCCCAAAATAGACACTCTTGTCAATGATCATATTCTGTCCTCATTGTGCTGCTTCTTGGGCAGCTGGTCGGCCACTGGACTAGATGGGTCTTTGTTGATCTTATGCTCTCATTTATCCCCACACCCAGTCTCCCAACATCAAGTGCCATGTGATTATTATTGGGTGCTTATAGTGCATCACCGTGACATCCAGGGATCACAGAACTGCAGAGCTGGAAGGGACATCTAGTCCAACTCCCTGCAATGCAGGAAATTGCAACAAATAAAATTATTAGTAGTAGTAACAGAAGTATAATGCCCTGTAGATACACATACAGTATACAGAAGTATAATGCCCTGTAGATCTCAGGGTGGTTCATAACATAAAATTACAATATAAAATAACTTGGATAGGTGAGCAGCCCTACCCACATGTCAAATGTGACCTGCAAGGGGTAGGGGTGATAGGGATTTGGCTCGTTGACCACATCAGGTTCCCCACCTCTGCTATTGCTTGCAGAATTGCTTGCAGAATTCATAATCTATAGCATCAGCTCTCTAGTCATCAGCTCTTCCAGCCCTACCTGGAGACTGAACCGTGGTCCTTGCTCTACCATTGAGCTATTACCCTACCCCATTCCAAAGATTATTTCTGTACATGGTGGTTTTATGTGCTGCTGTTGTAAAACTTGTTCCCTGTTCTCCTTGAAAGCTTTTTTAAATTATTATTATTTTTTAAAAAAAAGGCCTACCCAACAACCATTTACGCTAAGGGTTCCTAGCCATGAATACCGCCAGCTAATTAGGTGTTGTGTCCTGTTTTGATTGTCCTGTAATTTGCTCCTGGTGGATCTCTTGCTCTTAAACTTAAAAAGAAAAGAACAGATGGATGGATGGATGAAACTCTAACTAGGGCAGTTAAGCTGATAAGAAGCTGTCTTGTACATTTTCTAAGGGAATTCCTTTATCCTAGTGTTCTGCTCATTCAATTTGCAGATGACACAGAAAGGAAAGCTGTAAAACACTCAAGGATAGTAGAGTGCATTGACGAAGCAGAGAAGTGAAGAGTGTTTATTAGAGTTGATTTTTCAGCTGAAAAAGGTGTCATAACGCTAATACCCTTCGGCAGCTTCAGGTGGCAGGCCTAGGTGTTGGACGGTCGAGGTGACCATGTCCTCTAGAAGACAGGAGAAGTCAGGGCGCCACCTGCACCTTGCTTCAAAAATCAGTCTGGTATTTTAAAATCCATTCATAGGTTATGTGCAAACTCATTTAAGTGTCATACGCATCAGTGTTGTCTGAACTTCGCTACAGAGTGTGAAGGCACTTTGACCCCGCTCCCTCTTAGCTTGCTGCCCCGTCACTTTCATGCTCTCAAATGTTCTCCTGTTGTAGCTGGCTGTACTTCCCTCTCTTTCCTTTTGGGGATGCTTCTACCACCAAAGCTTATGGAAGGAGAGATTGGACATACAGAAAGTGGAATCTCCGCTGAGACGGGAGAGAGGGCGCTCATATTCTCCGCAGCTGAGCAGCTCTGATTGAGGGTGGAGAAGTGCAGTGTGCTTCTTTTGCACTAGCAAAGGTGAACAAGGTGGCCAGCCACTGCCTTTCAGCATCAGACCAGGTTGCAGTATTTCAGTGATCACTGCACAGAGCTACACCCATTTGAGATGGTTCTCTACCTAAGAATTGCTCAGATACGAGACAGTGGTGGCTAATCGTGTATCTTTCTGTTGTTGATTTTTGCTGCTATATTTTAGCTTGGTAATTTGTATTTAAACGATTGGATCGTTGCTGCTTTTATGTTTGTAAGCTGCTTTAAGCAACTTGTTTTGCAGGAAGTGGGGAGAAGGGTATACAGAATTTTTAAAATAAATAGAACAGTTATTTTATGGCTTGCACTGTTCAAGGGTGATCCAGAGTGCTGAAACCATAAAATAAGTGGAAAAGATAGTTCTGACATTACATACAGGGCCCTTTTAAAAACAGAAGCTAAGAGGGCCGGGTGCCCCCTGCCCTCCCCATGATTTCTGTTGCGGTTCAGATATATTTTAAAGAAATATATAGCTTAAGAAAAATTGAATAACCAGACTGAGGCTGCAGTCCTAAGCACTAGGGAGTAATTCCCATTGAACTCTGCACAATGTGCTTCTGAATAACGAGGTTAAGGAGTGCAGTGTGATTTCAGTTTCCTTTAAAACAAATGGTTATAGCTGAGATTTAGATTCAACAACATGCATAAAAGTTGTTATTTAGACCAAATAGAGCATAGCAAGTTACCCAAGGCCACTAGAGCCAAAACATATGGGTTGTATGAATAATTCACGTGTGTTTATCCTATTCTTGCCGCTTTTGTATGCGATGAGCACCTTACGCTCCATAACATGGAGGAGGTTTTGCTTGTTTGTTTTGCTGAGTATTTGTCATGTATGCATGGATGGGAAGTCTCAATTGGATCCATGGAGGGAAAAAAGGTACACATGTAGCGTGCAAGGTAATAGGATATAGTCATGGGTACCTGCTAAATTTGTAGTGTGGGATGGTCCTGAGATAGCTGGTGGAAGTTCTGGTGTCAACCTGCAACAAAAATCTTGCAAAACATTTTAGGGTCCGTGTGTGTGTATAGAGGGAATGCTTTCTGCAGGAGCTCTCACAAAGTTGTCTACTGTTTTCCCAGTCCCTTCTCCCAAGCCAAGTTGTAGGTTTGGTTCCTCTTAGTATCCCACTCTTCATTTGTTTCTGCTTTGTCTCAGTCCCTTTTACTTAGTAAAATCCACTGATGATATCTTCAGCAGATACAAAAAGGGGGGAATTAATTGAGAGAAACTTAGTAATACCCATTTTAAAGGTTCTTGAGTCACAATCGGATTGCTGGACTCAATGACCTATCTTTTAAAGAAGTAAATCCATGTAATTTGTTCTGTATCAAAGAATATGTGCTATATATTTTTTTCTTTTGGAAGAATGATTGAACAAAGCCTCCAAATACCTGTTTTAAGTGGAAAGATTACATTTTTTAAAAAAGAACATGGTGCTTGTGTATGAATTCCCCCCCCCAAAAAAAGCCCCCACTTTCTGACACTTTCTACATTTAGCGGTGGGAAATGGAAAGCTTTATGTGAATAGAGGAGAGGAACCTCGGCAAGCGGGGAGTGAATGTACAATTGGTCATGTATCTTGCTTGTAACGGTTTGGGTGCTTCACATTGATTTCCTTTTACCCATTTGTGCTTTGTGGGATATTGAACTCAAGGAACATGACAGAACGAAAGAGGAAGCCCAAGTTCTCCAGGGAGGAGCTGGACATTCTGGTCACGGAAGTGACTCGGAACGAAGCCAGGCTGTTTGGAAGGGAGACGATACGTCTATCCCACGCAGACAGGGACAAGATCTGGGAAAGTATAGCCAGGAAAATCACATCGGTGAGCCAGGTCCCCAGGTCTGTGAAAGATATTAAGCACAGGTGGGACGACATGAAGAGAAGGACCAAAGACAAACTGGCATACATGCAGAGGTCCCTCTCCAGTCCCAGCAGCCCGGGGAGGCCCTCGGCCATTGTCCTGACCGCCCACGAGAGAGCCATCGAGTCGACGCTGCATTCGTCACGCCAGATGCACGGCTTCCGGAGAGCGGATCTGGACGTGGTTGACAGCCCATCAACCAGCTGTAAGTATTACCTCCCCCCTGGTCCCCTGCTGAACAGATCAGTTCTGACCAAAGAACTGTATGTATTGCACGAAAGGTCAGCCCTGCCCTACTAGCGAAACTGTTATCTCTGGTTGGCGTTTCCTGTTGCGCTTTGGTTCTCTCCACCCTATTTCCTCCCTCAGCCTTGGGTTAGGAATAGATTGTAGGGAGCTGCACCTTGAATGAACTGGCATGAGCTGTGCTACTTCGGTCAAGTTAGCAAAAAAGGGGATAGGTATTTTCAGTGCCCATGGTCTGTGGAATGGCAAATGTGAAGATGCTTGGAAGGTTGTGTGCACACATTGCCGGAGGGAAAGGGAAGACCAGACGTTTGAACCAAATCTTCACCCTTAATAAATCCAATATATGGGTCACTAGATGAGTTCACAAGCTCATAAATGTGGATATTTCTACATTGCGCAAAGGTAGTAGTATGTGGAGTTGGCGTATCCATGGGCAATTTGTATGGGCAATGCCATTGATCTTTCCACCAATGTACCATGATCAAGGGATTGCCAAAACCAATCTTACGGCGTGCAAATGTGTGTACTTGAATCATACAGTACTTCATCTCCTATCAAGAATTTCCACATTTGTGATTATGTGATCTAGCCCTGGCACTTGTATATACAAAATGGTGCTAGGGTTTTGTCCATTTTAACATCTTACCAGGTATTCGTGATATTCAGGACAGCGTTTACAAATGTAGGGTAACAACTATTTTTCATTGCTCTTGTGGAAACAAGAGATTGGCAGTATGCTTCTGGCTTGCAGCTTTTGATCTAGTAGACTAAACCTGAAGAAAGTTCCGTAAGTGCATAGGCTGCACTTATCATCAAGGTCTTCTCTAGTTTTCCCTGTTCAACAGGCAGCACTACGGTTTAGGCTTATAAGGCTCAGCTAGCCACACGGCAAATATAATTAAGCAGTGGGAGAGGTCTATGACCCATTACCTCATGCTTAGTCTTAGACCGGACCACTAGCAGTTCTAAATGCTAGCCACTGCAACAGAAATTCTTGCCATAAAACATCCAATGAGATATGGCCAAACTCCTATTTGTTGGCTTTATTATTCTGTACTAGTGTTAAACTTCCTCTTCTGGATTATATTTGATAAAAAGGAAAAGCATGCAAAAACTGAACTAAATCACTTTTTACAGTGGTGAAGCCTCTTGTCCCTGATAAGGAAGAGCTTTGGTGTGTGCAGAAACTGGAAATGTCGTGTTGAGAGCTGCTTCCTGTAAACCAAGGGAATGGGTAGATGATATCAGTGTGGTGCCCTTCCAGATATTGCCCAAGCCAACATGGCCAATCCTAAGGGATGCTGGGAGTTGGAGTCTAGCAACATCTAGAAGGCATCACACTGATCTTTCCAGTATTGTTTTCTTCAGCTGCCATTGGCTTTCCAAGATTCTGACAGGGGTCTCCCCTTTCCTTGCCACTGAGATCCTTTATTGGATGGTACCTGGGACCTTTTTGCAAGCTGAACTATGGACTGCTTTGGGTTTACTAGTCCCTTACAAATTGACAAAGATTACTTAATGGTGGATGACTCCTCACAGGAAATGATTCTTTGCAATTGCTGCTGCTGAATGAAATGACTTTGGAAACTCTTAATATAAAATCAGAATGTGATTAGATTGATAAAGCAACAGTCATGGTGGTGGTTGTGTACACTTGAAAGTCTACCATTAACTCTCCTCTTATCTCAGGATGTGCATAATTTCAGGTTTTTTTGTTGGCATTTTGTGCCCCAAAGAAAAATCTGTAGTTGGCCTTGCATCTAGTGACTTCAAAGCAGTCATCTTAGAGGGATGCTAAGCAAAATGCGTTTTGTAAATGGACATTTGCATTACACAAGAAATTCTTTTTAAAGGAATCAACGCCATAGTCTATTCCTTGAAAAAATCTCTTTCTGCATTTTACCAAAATTCCAAGTTGAGTGCTTGCTTCTCCTGAACTTATTGAAATAGAGATTTTCAGAAGAAAACATTCATGTAAATAATCTGGTGTTTTCTGTTTCTGTTTCAAGCTGACGAAGATGTGGAGGTGCCCGGCCCCTCGCGGCAACACCACTTTTCATCACTGCAGAGGCACGCAGAAGAAGCTGACCTTCTCTCCATACCATCATACCTTCATTCTTCTTCTCTGTCAGATCACTCGGATGTTATTAACCAAAGGCAGGAAATGAGGCAACCAAACCCATGTTCCCAGTCCTCCTTTAGGCCCCCTCGGCCCTATGCCCAAAGCCCACCCATCTCTGGCTTTGACCGCCAGCTCTTTGACACCCACATTGAACAGACGGAGCTCTTCAGGCATTTCTGTCAAGAGCTGGTAACAATCCACAGAGACATGGCAAATAACATGCTTGTGATCAGCCAGAGGATGTCTGACCTGACTGGGCAGGTCAGCCAGATGTGCCAGACCTTGACCAAAATCAAGGACGAGCTTCAGACTTTGAACAAGGGTCAGGTTCCCAGCACTAGCCAGGTGGCAGCACCAGTGAACCCTTCTGAACCCAAGGCAGGGAATAGCCAAAGCCATCCCAAGCAGACGCCTCTTCCTCGGACGACTAGGTCACGAAAGAGAAAGCACCACTTCTAGCTCCCTTCGTATTAAACAGGAAAGAGTAGCTGATGTTGGATTAGAAAAAAAAATCATTAGCATGACTATTGGGGAAAATCAGTGAGAGTTCCCTATAAAGATGAATATAAATTATGACAGTTTAGCAGTAGGCTTTGCTCTGTGCACTTGGAAGCGCAGCACCTTGCTTGCCCGCCCTGTATTAGAAGCTGTGAACACCTTAAATACACACAGGTGAAATTTAATGGCTGTCTTGCTCTATGGAGTCAAGGTGCACATAGATTTGTTTCCTTAACCTTTTATGCTCAGGAAACGTTACTTAGGCTTTGCATTTAAATAATTGCACTTAAGGTAAAACAATCCACAAATATATGCTCCCCCCCCTTTTACTTCTGCAAATGCACTATGTGGATCTAAGAGCTGTAAACGGACTACATTCTTTGCCATAGTTAGCTATTGTGGTTTGGGGTTTGAGTACTAAAGCTGGGTAGATACTGACAAAAGGAGGGACGTGGAAAAATAGGAAAAAGCAATGCCTGCTTCTGAACCGCGCAAAGCACCACCCAGCACACTGGACTTACTCATCAGCTTTTTCTGTCAGGTAGCAAAAGCAGTTATGGCAGGTGTCAGCCACTTCAGGCCTTTAAGAGGCGTTATCTAGCAGAAATTGGTAACATTGCAGTCCATAAAAACAAGTGCATTCTTTTGAAAGTAACTTGCACTGAAATCAGTTTGCTAAACCTGCTAGAAACAAGTTTTGAATAAGGTAAACCACTGGCCAGCCTGCTAATTTTTCTACCTGGTCATGCCAGACTACATCTTCAGTTCTTTAGGATATTAATAAGAATAGTTCAGTAATCCCTCAGTTTAAATGGGGGTTACGTTCTGGAGATCGCACCTAAAGCCAAAATTGCATATAGGCAAAACACATTGGGTACAATGGTGTGTGGAATTGCCAAAGCTTCTTTTCTTCTGGATGCCCATCCCCCTTTCCACCCATATATATGTCAAAGCTGAACGCACACAAGTTAAATGTGCGCAAGTTGTGGGCTTACTGTATACCAAGCTGTACCTTTTTTAAAATAAAAAATAAAGAGCTCACAAATTTAACCTTTTTTGTTGAGGGATGGCATTTTCAGAAGCAACTAACTGGAGCATGCTCAAGTGCTGGCTTTGACACCAATGTAATTCTCCTGACATCTTCAGAATTGCTCTTTTGTTTGCAAACGCGATGCCGTCTTTTTAAGCCCCTTGTCTTATCACAGGCTTGCTGGTGCGTGTTCTCCTTATACCAGCTTCCTGCTTAACAGGAGTGCTGTGCATGCATTCAAATGAACACGTAAGGGCTTAAACTGGTACAGCAGGTGTTACCCACTCCCACCCGTCCCCCAGACTTCCCACACTGAATGGTTTCTGATCTTAGGGAGGTATGCAAGTGTGTCCAGCCAAACGCTCCCAAGTCTTCCTACCATACACAGGAAAGATGCGGAAGGAGATGCGCCTGGTACGCACAGGGTGGGTGCGGATGGCATGTGCATGGTTGCTTGCCCAGTTTAAACTCTCATACAATTCTTTTGAATCCAGGAATAGGGCAAACAGGAGATGCTAGCTACTGCCTATGTGAATCAAGATTACTGTCTACTTAGTTCTAAATGTAGTCTAGCCTGGCCTGTTAGGACTCCACTATGGTTCTGAAACTGGATGTTTGATCATATTCTCACACCTGCTATAGTACATAAGCTAAAATTGCATGTGCACTGTACACTTTTCATACCTGCACCTGCTCTTCTGCACCCTACGGATGGGATGTCAAGAGTTGAGACACAATCCCCTTATAAAGTCATAGCTGCAGTAGTCTACATTCCACAAGGCCCTTCTGGCAGTGAGGATAAATTTAGGGTGCACACTTATCGGGGAAGGGAACCCTAATGAACTCAAGGAGACTTCCTTCTACGTAAACACACATAAGATTGTGCTGTGAAGGTTAAAGCATGTTGGGGCAGCTCCAACTCCACTTTCCCTGGGGCTACTTAAGACCAGAGTTCCCTGAGAGGAGAAGGCCAGGCCAGGGTGTTAGTGCCACCAGCTCCTGAAGTAGACCTGAGATTAATTTGCACCATTTGTTTTGTATTAATATTTTAACCCGCAAACCTCCTTGGATGCCTTGATAGAAAGGCTTCATATAAATGCGATAAATAAATGATGAAAATATAATCAGACTGGTTTTTGAAAGCTTATTTCAGAGGAAACTTCACTTTTCTGCAGTGTTGCCACCTATTTGCAGGGAATTTAAAATCCATATGGCATTAAATGTGGATCACTTTTTTCGTGAATTAACAAAGTTCAGCATTTGTATACTTCTGAGGCAGGCATAGCACCAGTTCGTTGCAAATTAATGTGAAGGAAATAATGGCGCAGGGTCTGGAAGTGCCTGGTCCTCAGAGCTTTCCACCACCGAAGTGGATGGGTTTTGCTCCCCTCCAAAGCAAGTCTAGATTGTAAGCTCCTTGGAGTAGAGACCTCTTTCTTTTGCTCTTCTTAACCCTATAAAGGACCATGTCCATTGATGGCACTCTATAAATTAAATAATAGGAATGTCGTCTGTTACAAAACTCCTGGTGTCTCTCATATGTGCTTGTCTCCAAGCCATTAGGATGAATAAGGTTGCTTTGCTTTCCTGTTTCAAACTTTTGTGATGTGTTGTTGATTCAGCTATCAGTTCTTGGAGAACTGATCCCAGAGACAAAAAACAAGTTGGCATTCTCAGCCACCGCTGACCTTTTCTGAGAAGCTCAGGTGCTTGTGGCCTCTGGATTTCTGGCACTTGGGAGAAATGTACACGCGTGCTTTCTTTTAGAACAGGATAAGAAGCTGTAAAGCTAAGCTTGAGGAATCTGGGATGTTAATATATAGAGAAACATATCTGGGCAAATGAAGGTATGTCCCATGATTTATTTATTTTCCATGGGGAATTAGCAACAAGGGATGAGTTCTTTGCTCTCTGAAATGCTTTCTTTGTGATCATCCCCACAAGGGGATGTTGTATGTGATTGTGTATACCTGGCATGTTTTAAAGTGCCCCTTGTTTGACTGAAATGCTGTGCTTGCCCTAATATTTCTTATATATGATGGAAATTTATGAGTATTTTTGTTAACAATAAATATATAATACTTAAAACTCAAACTCTTTGTTGGGTAACGTCTTTCCTTCTCTACATGGGTGCTTTCAAGTTGTGTTCTGGAGCCTGTGTTCCATTTCAAGGATAGTTTACAGCTTACATATCTCTGTATGGTGCACAAATAGCACTTTTCTATCAGGACACATTTGTCAGATTGGGGTGGGTTTTATGTTTTTTGTTTTGCTATATTTTACGGACAATTTGAGGACAAAAAGCATTTGCTCATCAAGAAGGAGCAAAAGAAAGGTGAATGGTTTGGAAATGTTCCCAGTGTGAAAGTTTGTTCATGTGCCTAAAGATCTACAGAAAAAGCTACAAATCTGCCCATTTGCATTGTTATACAAAAAGCGACCTCACAAATAGTAATGTTCCAGATTTCATCTGCCTCGTTTATTATTTTATTTATTTCATAAAAATTTATATACTGCTTGAGTTGTAGAAAACCTCAAAGTGGTTTACAAAACTGATGAGATTACTACAACTTCTAGCACCATACAGCTTACCTGAAACAGCAATAAGGATTTCATGAGGATCTTGCAAAGATAGTTTGGAGATCTCAGCTGTCCATTTAGGTATATCCAAGAGTTGAGCAACCATGCATGAAAATTTCTTACAGCTTTTTCAGAGACATCTTCTGAATCTCTAATTAGATTTTGGGATTGCTTGTCACAGCTTGTCACAGCCTGTATAAAAGCACATATGCATACATAAAATGGTGACTCGTTCTTTCAAACAGATTACTACAACAGTTGCTTTGGGACAGGGAGACCCTTGGCCAGTGCTTTTTAGCTTTCCCAGTGCATCTGGAAAAGAAGTAGATGTTCATTTAACTGAATGGAATTGTTTAATTTAGGACTGATTCTGAGCTTTTCTTCCTTTAAAAAGAAAATAGAGCAATCACCACCAGGAAAGAAAAAACCGCTGGTCAGAGCAACTCCTGTGTCCAAATGTCTGAGGAGTGCATCTGATTTCAGCAAACCCATGAAAACTTAGTGCAACTGGGGAAAGGAGTGAATCTTGAGAGTTGCTGCTTAGCTGGAATGGCACCAGCTTTCCCATCTCTGTCTTCCTCTTGGCTTAGCAAATCTAGGCAATGAGGCTGGGGTGGGGGAAGCTTAGTTACAAAGTCAGAAGCTGCTCTGTTCTTCTTGACTTACCCTACAGCAGTGATGGGGAATTTGCGGCTCTCCAGGTGACATTGGGCTCCCCATCATCCCCCTCCACCTTGGCTGATGGTCAGAGGTGATGGGGATTTGTAGTCCAAGAAGAGTTGGAGGGCCACAGCTTCCCCATCTCAGCCCTGCGGTGTCCAGATCCCTTGGCTTTGTGCATGTGTCTTCTCCCCAATCACTCAAAAATATAGATGGAAGCAGCCCCCTCTGTATATTGGATTGTGAAAGAAGTTGCCTGCACACTCATAGCATGTGTGTAATACACTGAGTTGTCAGTCGGTCAGCAGAAAACTAAAACTGAGGCAGAGAGGGGAAGGGCAGCTCACTCTTATCCGAGGGGTCTGGATCAGTGTTAAATACGCCAAGTTCTAAACAGCTTTTGTCCTGTCACTTATCTGCTACGCAGTAAATGAAGGTTTGGAGTCTAGTGTTCACCTGTCTCTTTTCTGACGCTATGATTAATTATTTTGCAAAAGTGTAGTGCAGTGCAATATGAGCATGACAGCCAAGTATGGTCATCGGACACATATTAGAAGGATATTAATGGAAGTGGCTGGTGTGGTATGTGATAAATCACCTTGCGGGGGAAGAGCAGAAGCTGTTTCTGCTGTTAAAAGGGAGTATTTCCCAGGAGTAGCTCTTATGCTAGCAGAAGTAATGCGGCATGACCTCTGCCCTCTCTCTTATTCAGACATTGCCAGCTCCGCAATATAGATGCAATCCACTAAGCACAGTTTGTGCACAATCATCAGTAACTCTCAATTAAATTTGAAACATGGCTCCCATACAATTACTGGAAAAATGCTCTTGCTCCAGCAACCTCTCTCTCTCACTCAGTACCAAGCCTAGGTTTTAGTAACGCAAGTTTTTCATATTGTCTCTGCCCCTCACCTGATAACTTGCTTACTTTTATGCATGCAGATTATCGAAATGTGCACACCAAGGATTAGTGTGACTAACTAGGTAAAGCTAATGTGTCAAGATGGCTAAGAGATGCAAGCAAGTTCGCTCTTGATTCAGATCCTCTCCCCCATGGACTCTTAAGGTTTCTTTAGGCAAGCCACTGTCTCTCAGCTGCTTCATCTGTAACATGGCAGCCAGTGGTTAAAGTGGTGGGCTTGGATGGAGGACACTTGAGTGAAACTGGGCCTGTCACTATCTTTCAGCCTAAACAACCTCAGTGTAGTTGTGAGCATAAATAGGAAGGAACTGTGTATGCCTTCTTGAGCTCCTTGTAGAATAGACAAGCAATAAATTCATTAAAACAAGGGAAAGCAAGACTGATAAACTTTACAGCGTTAATAAGAACTACCCCTTTGCCCGCCTCCAGAAAGTAATTGGCTGTAGGGTAAGTCTGGAGAAATCCTGGAACAGCATACAGGGAAAGGAGAGGATAAATTGTTCCATCAGGCCAAGCAGAGATGCTTGCAGTGATGGCATGATCTCCTTGACACTGCTTTGAATTCCACCCAATAACTTTGGAACACAACTTATACAAGTGCTATATAATAAGAACTTTCTGCATTTGCCAGATAAAGAGTACAGTGGTACCTCGGGTTAAGTACTTAATTCGTTCCGGAGGTCTGTTCTTAACCTGAAACTGTTCTTAACCCGAAGCACCACTTTAGCTAATGGGGCCTCCCGCTGCCCCTGCGCCGCCAGAGCATGATTTCTGTTCTCATCCTGAAGCAAAGTTCTTAACCTGAAGCACTATTTCTGGGTTAGCGGAGTCTGTAACCTGAAGCGTATGTAACCTGAAGCGTATGTAACCTGAGGTACCACTGTACTGCCTGCATGCTGTTTTGTAATATTTTCACTGACAAATAAAATCCCTGCCATGGATTTTGGTGTTACCCTTGAGCTGTAACTTAGTGGCTTGGTGATGGCAGACAAACGGTTTTCTCATGAGGTTGCCAGAATGACACCCAACTTTGTGAGAGCCAGTTTTTGGTGTTTGCCTATTTTTTTGCGCTCATGACAGTGGCGATTGTGTGGTTGCCTGACAGCAGCCTTATCCCTTGTAAGTCTTGACAGTAAGAAATCCGACTACCACCTTTGTCCCTTTCCATTTGGAAATCCTTCGTTTCCAACAGAAAGAGATATGAAATTAGATCTGACATTGTTTTTCTATCTTTTTTACTGTTGCTGTTTCTTATTGTTGTAGTGCTTTGGAATGATTTGTGGGAAGCGATTTGTCAATGATATCAATCAATCGCTGAGAAAAACTGACAGGGGGAGCTGATGCTGGTGCAAAGTTTTCAGATGCTGAAATGCTTCTCGCTGAGCAGCTGCTATGTGGAGGGTGCTCAAAATGGCTTCTTTGCAGCAGCTTGTTCTGTATAGGCCCTTTACAAGAATTGGCTGCTGGCTACCAGAGTGGGAGTGAAGCTTGAGGAACAGAGAAGCAGTGAGGTCCAAGGGCCCAGCATCTAAGGCCATTGTAAACACTTTACAAGCAGGCATGTGCTTTTCGGATATTGAAGAGGAACCTGTGGCTCCCCAGGTGTTGGAATTCAACTCCCATTATCCCTGACCATTGACCATGTTGGCCAAGGCTGCAGGGAGTTGCAGTGCAGCCACGTCAGGTGGGCTTCAGGTTCCTCGTCCCTGTTTTAAATGTGCTGACAACATTGGTGTTACTAGACAGAGGCAACAGCTGTATACCAGATTCAAGAAGCTGTTTGATATTCCTTCGGTGTGCATGTTATTTCCTTGTAGCTTGTTGCATATCATTATTCATGCCATTCAATACTCCTCTGCCTGTGTCTCCCTTTTGAAGGTCACTCATGCTGCACTGTGGCTTCTGTATGTTTCCTTTCTGTCTAAGCCTCCTTGTAAGTCAAAAACTGTCCTTGTTCTCAGGTATGTGGCCATATCCCGGGAGGAGAGAGAACAGAACCTCATGGCGTTCCAGCACAGCGAGAGGATTTACTTCCGGACCTGTCGAGACATCCGGCCAGGGGAGAGGCTAAGGGTCTGGTACAGCGAGGATTATATGAAGCGATTGCACAGCATGTCTCAGGAGACCATCAACAGAAACCTCACAAGAGGTGGGTGCCTTTCCCTTCCCCTTTTCTGTCTCTGAGTTTGTTCTAGCATTCCTCTCTGACAAAGATGGCTTCTGAAGCAGCTACAAACATCTCTTTTTGGGTGACAGGGGGGTTAAAACCAGCAAACAAAACATTCCATATCACAAAATGACTGAAATGAGCAGAATGCCTGGTTGAAATGAAATCCATCAAATAGCACTGTTGGGGCTGTGTGTGTGTGTGTGCCAGCTGATTTTATGCCTGCCTGTGAGTCAGAAGCATTAGGTCGAAAGAAATGCCCTTTGCTGGACTGGATTTTCTGGCTTGTGGTTCATTTTGTAGGGTCCTCTTTCCGTTGCAAAATAAATACCTAGAGGGACTTCACAATATTACACTGGTGACAAAGAGCAGCAGGCATTTATACACATCAGAGATATATCTTTTTATATAATAAAAATGTAAGGATGTCATCATGAGAGCCCTCGTTGGAGGATTTGTTGAGCCACATCACAATCCTGGAAGTCTGGGTGGGGTGGGGGAGCAAAAGTGAAGGCAGGTTGCACAACAGCAATGGCCATGGATTGGGAGTGAGAAGAGAGAGACACTGAGAGGGGAAGAGTGGTGATTTAAAACAATGGCAGAAGTTTGAGTAAATCGGGGATGGAGAGACAGCAATGGCAGCAGGGGGTTGGCAAGTGAAGTGAAACACAGCCCCAGGTGTAGAGATAGATTGGTGGCAGTGCCCATTAGCTGTTAAGGTAATTTGAGGACAGGTTATTTGCGGCGGGAATTTCTGCCAATAGTAGAGGAATCTCCCCCTTTTCTTACATGCGTTCTGTCCATAGGCCATCAGTCTAAGACTGACAGGTATTTGCTGTATGGGAACTGTGGGTTCCTTCCTAGAGCGAGAGCCAGCTTCCATGAGTCAACCTGAAGGTGCTCCTCAACAGTCTCCAGCACTGATGAAAGCGGTTGGGAGAGAAGAATGGGGAGGAGGGACAAAGTTAAGTTGTGGTGGTCGCTTTTTCCTCCTGCTGCCTCCGCAACCCTTCGTGGGGTGTAAAATATTTTGCGTTCATCGGTGCAAAATGTAACAGGTGTCATGGCCCCGCAGTATGAGACGACGTTTGAAAGCGTGTGTGAGGGCATCATTCAGTTGGAAGTCTCTTGAACGGGACTCCGCAGAGTAGAAGGGCCCACACACTTCCACCCTGGTCTTGCGCAGCTGCAGTCCTGTCTTCTTTGGTTTCACTAAAAGAACTTTCCCAAGTTCCTAGCCATGCCCAGTTCCGGGGGGTAGAAGTAAACACAGCAAAGGTAAAGGAAAGTCCTTTCTGACCATTCCAATAAAAGGATCTCAGGTGTGTGTGGTGGTGGTGGTGGTGGTGGTGGTGTTGGGGAATTGCCTGAAATCTCAGAGAGCAAGTCATTATTGAACTAGGCAGGCCAATGGTATTTCTCAGAATCAGGCAGTTCTGTATATCCTATGGGCCATGTGTGCATGAGAACGTACTCTGCTGCTAAATCACAAGTGCAGGGCGCAGATGCTGAATAAAAAGGTACAGTCTGGCACAAGGGTGTCTGTGGCACAGAGCTCTGTCTACAACTCGGGTTGGGCTTTATGTGCAAAGACAAGCTAGAAATATTGTGTGTGTGTGTGTTTTTAAAAAAGTACAGAAATACCTTGTCAGTGTCCGTTTCATCACCACAAACCGCAACAGGAAATCCTATGCAGTCACCTCTTGAGTATTCTTTCATTGAAACACCCGTGTTCCAGAAACGGTTGACATTCATTTGGTTAATGACAGCGCAATATATTATGTAATTCTACACATAGGAAGAGTAGCTGGAAGCCAAATTCAGCATTTGGCTTTTAAAAAATTCAACACTAGAACAACGTGCAGAATTCATGCATCTCCGTTTAATGAGTATTTTTCTTAAAAGTTCCTCGGCATTTTGATTTAAGAAAGTGGCTTCAAATCTTGATAGGGTCCAACTGGTGGATACCCAAGAGTTCTTAAATTTGGATCTGAACTTGCTGCCTTCCTGACAAAAATAGGCAATCTTCCCCTGACTGGAGATTAATCCCAATATGGGGTTTAATTGCTCGTAATGGTGCAATTCACATTTTGGGGCGATTGGCAGTCCTTCACCATAGAAGAGTTCTTGCAGTTGTGGTGCATTTTATTGGTTGCCTTTTATCTAGTACATACTCTTCATTGGTTAAAAGCTGTCCCCGATTAATTGGGCAGCACTTAAAAAAGTTAAGTAATTTTGATTCAAGAATCTATGGGTGCAGACATTGCTGTATAAAAGGCATTGCCTCTTCTCTATTCCAAATGACCGTGATGATGGTTGCTGCAGAAGGTGCTTGCCTAACCTAAAAACAGAGAGGGGATGCTTTTCTTCAGAAGCACTGCTTTATTCATATGCAAATGTATACAGAGTCAATTACTTAATTGACTAAAACCACCAAATGACTAAAATAGCAACCTTTCTATAAGGTGTGTAAATTAAGTGCATTTGCACATATTTAGTCATTTCCCTTAATTTGTTTGTCTCGTGTAGTTAGTCATGGGGTTGAAATTCAGAGTTGTGCAGAGCAGAATTCCACAAAGTGGATGCCCCTCTAGGCAGAAGAGGAGGGATGTGAATTTTGCTGATTCTCTCTTCCCCTTGTAGTGTTACGTGCCTTACCCACCCACCCCACCCCCCATCTGCTCTGGACGGTTGGGACACCCTCCAAAACATCGTAGGAGGGGGATGCAGGAGAAGAGGAAACAAGTGAAAATTACCTCTCTCTGCCCACCCACCCACCCACTCCGGTCCATTGGAGTATCCAGTTTGCGCACAACTGCAGCATGCACTGGATCCAACTTACTTTTGTAAACAAAAAGGAGCTCTTCTATTCACAGAATAGCCCATCTGGACCCAAACCATAGCCCCTAATACCTCCTAAGCCTGGCACCAAAGCTTTGCCTGCCACCACCTTCTGAGATTCCATCAAGTAGTCCCCAAACACATTTTTAATTTAATTTTTCCTCCCATGTGTGTTAGTAACGCGTTTTGTGTTTACAATGAAGATGGGTCCCCCAGGTTGATTGATTCTGTACTTAATACCAAATTACATACTATCATCAGATTACATGCACTGCTGTCCATATTTAGAATGGAAATAGAAGCCCAGTTGTGATCTACTCTTGTCCAAGAATACAGTGTAATTTGAAAGAAAAAAAAATCTGCCATGTCTAATCTGGACCTGCAGCCAGTTGTCATACCCTTAAAAACTAATTAGGCTGTGGCATGGGCTCAGTCTTGCCTGACTTCTTCATCTCTATAGCCAGACCCTAAGACTTGCGGCGTCAACAGATAAATGCTGATAATGAGGTGCCCATGCGCCATCACACTATCTGGAATTGTACTCACCTTCGTAGCAGCTTTAGACTTGCAGTTGTTCAGGACTTTGTTGCCAGCGTTTGAAATTTCTATATAGCTCTTACAAAAGCACACACGTGTTTCAAAATGAAATATATATACATAGCAGCATAAAACAGCACCTTGTTTGGGAAGCAACCATGTGTCTTGATGCTTGGAGTTATTTGCAAGATAAGAAGAAAGATGGAAATTGAACCAAACCCATCATCTTCTGAATTTCCAGGTAAGGATATATGGCTACTCCCTTTGTTTTAAGTAACTGCTAATATGCACAATCTCTCCACTTTATTTTGGTGAACTTTGGCTAGGGGCCATACATTTAGCAATCTTGTCGGAACCAACCTTGGAGGTCACTCAGAAGTCCTACCTCATTTTGCTAGTAAGTGATATGGGAAATGAGAGTGATTTCCTTGTGTTCTCACGCTTCCTGTCACTCTGGAATAGAAAAATGGTCCTTCACGCCTACAGGTTTCACATGGAAATCTCTGCATCACACCCTTCATGTATTATTTGCCGGATACGTTTTACCAAGTAAAAGTTATCTTTTCAACAAACCAACACATTGAACATTATTGTCTCATTCCAGCACAGGTTAGCTGCCTGTTATTTTAGACCACCTTCCTATAGTTTGTCTTCTCTTAAAACCATCTGAGGCCTACTTCTGTATGGCTGTCTCCTAGAGACTGTTTTCCCTTTTAAACAAATCTCCAGTCTTAGGTTTCCTGAGACCCTCATTCCAATAAGTTTCCTTATTGGTAATGCAAACATGTGAAAAATGAAGATTTGTGTGCTCCCAGTTTGCTTTTGCTTTGGGGTGAGGAATGTTGCGGAATTCCCACTGATAATTCCAACTCCTGATTTTTTCTTTCTAGGAGATAAAAAATTACTAAGGGAAAGGTCAGAAAGAAATCTAGAAAACCAAGACGATATGAGCTACCCCCTCGAGCTCACCACGTCAAAGCAAGGGAAGAGTTCCTACAAGCGCAGCTTTGAAGAAGGTGTGTCTCAACCCCAAACGAAGAAGAAGAAAATAGACCTCATCTTCAAAGATGTTCTAGAGGCTTCTCTAGAGCCATCAAAGATGGAAGAGCACAAGGTGATAAAGAATTCTACTCCTTCTACTAGAAAGTCCTCCAGATTTCAAGCGCGAGATGCCTCGGAAGGTTGTGGGCCTGGTATTCATCACAGCTCTCCAAATCACAGTAGAGGCAGGAATGAGGGTGAGTGGAAAGTCCCCCGCAGCTCTAAAGACATTGGCCTGCTGGAAGACGAAGGGGAAGAGGCCTTGTCATTTAAAGTGAACAGCCCCACCGATCTGTCTCTGGCATCGACTCAGGATGATGCCCTTGAGATCCCGACAACTTCATTGTGTCCCAACTGTGTACGGTTGAAGAAGAAGATTCGCGAGTTGCAGGCTGAACTAAACATGCTAAGATCTGGCAAGTTAGCCGAGGCACCTCTACTACCTCCTCAGGTACCTGAGTACCAAGCATTTTCATACCCCTCAGGTAAGTTACACACAAGAAAAGTGTTCCTCAAACACTGTATAAGGAGTGCCATTTTGTTTGACATTCGTGACTAAATATGTTCCAGCATTGAGTGTTCTGAGAAGCACCTGAGGTCTCGTTGGTGGGTTTCATGAAGCAGGAACGTAGTCCTCTGAGCAAGTGGTCTTGGGATTGTGACTGTAATGATGAAACATGATGTTTCTTTTCACTGTAATCAGGCACCTTCAATAAAAAATTCCATTGCAGCGAATTTGTTTGCTGTATTCTTGATGCATTCCCTTGCAGGAGAAAGAACAGCATATTGTTGTTTTTGAATCTTACCTAGAAATTGCAATTGACTCTCTTATGTTGAATATGAAATATACTGGCTTGTGGCATGTGTGTGAAGTATGTCATTAATATTTTCCCTTTGTCTCTTTATCTAAAGGATTTTGTTGGTTGAATGCAAGTGTGCATTTCTTTATGAAGCTCTTTTCGGGACATGCTCTGTCATTAATGCCCTTTCGGGAATATGAAAGTAGTCAGAATATCAGAGTGGCGTTTGCTACCCAGGCTTGCATGGACTCTTGGAAATTATGATTTTAGATAATGAGGGGGGCTCGGAATGTTTATAAACCAAAATTTACTCTAGTAACATGTTCATTTTTTGCTGCAAATGGCATGAGTAGCCAAGGGGGGCATGTGGGATAGTTGTCTAACAGTTTTGTGTTGTTTCTTACAACCCTACCTTAAACCTTCTCCATTTCCCCCTCATTTCTTTTCTTTCGCAGCTTCGGAAAGCATCATGTCTGTTCCCACCATCATGGAGGACGACGACCAAGAGGTGGATTCAGCAGACGAATCTGTCTCCAATGACATGATAACAGCCACAGACGAGCCTTCCAAATTGTCCGCCGTCACCAGGAGGATTCGGCGCTTCAAGCAAGAGTGGCTCAAGAAGTTTTGGTTTCTGAGGTACTCCCCGACGCTCAACGAAATGTGGTGCCACGTCTGCCGCCAGTATACAGTGCAATCCTCTCGGACTTCGGCTTTCATCATCGGCTCCAAGCAGTTCAAGATACACACAATCAAACTTCACAGCCAGAGCAACCTCCACAAGAAGTGCCTGCAACTTTACAGGCTCAGGATGCACCCAGAGAAGACGGAAGAGATGTGCCGAAATATGACTCTGCTCTTCAACACAGCCTACCATTTAGCGATGGAAGGCCGGCCCTATTGTGACTTCAGGCCGCTTGCAGAACTACTGAGAAAGTGTGAGCTCAAAGTGGTGGATCAGTATATGAACGAGGGAGACTGTCAAATCTTGATCCATCACATTGCGCGAGCTCTTAGAGAAGATCTCGTCGAACGGGTCAGGCAATCTCCCTTCCTCAGCATCATTTTGGACGGGCAGAGCGACGATTTGCTTGCCGACACGGTTGCGGTTTACGTGCAGTATATCAGCAGCGATGGGCCTCCGGCCACTGAATTCCTCTCTCTCCAGGAGCTGGGCTTTTCTGCAACTGATAGTTACATCCAAGCGTTAGATAGGGCTTTCTCTGCCCTGGGAATCCGGCTGCAGGATGAAAAGCCGAGTGTTGGTTTGGGAGTCGATGGTGCTAACATCACTGCCAGCCTTAGAGCTAACATGTACATGACAATCAGAAAGACTCTGCCTTGGCTGCTCTGTCTGCCCCTTATGGTACACAAGCCGCACTTGGAGATATTGGATGCGATTAGTGGGAAAGAGCTTCCTTGCCTGGAGGAGCTAGAGAACAATCTGAAGCAGTTACTCAGCTTTTACCGTTACTCTCCCAGGCTGATGTGCGAGCTGAGGGTCACTGCTGCTACTCTCTGTGAAGAAACTGAGTTTTTGGGAGACATCAGAGCAGTGAAGTGGATCATCGGGGAGCAGAATGTCCTCAACGCTCTGATCAAGGATTACTTGGAAGTGGTGGCCCATCTCAAAGATGTCAGCGGCCAAACACAAAGAGCAGATGCGTCTGCCATTGCCTTGGCTCTCCTGCAGTTCCTCATGGACTACCAGTCAATTAAGCTGATCTACTTCCTGCTGGACGTCATTGCTGTGCTTTCGCGCCTTGCCTTTGTCTTCCAAGGCGAATACCTCCTTGTGTCGCAGGTGGATGACAAAATCGAGGAAGCCATCCAAGAGATCAGCAGGCTCTCCGATTCCCCCGGCGAGTATCTCCAGGAGTTTGAGGAGAGCTTTCGAGAAAGCTTCAATGGCGTCGCTGTGAAAAACCTGCGGGTGGCGGAAGCCAAATTCCAGTCCATTCGAGAAAAGATATGCCAGAAGACCCAGGTGATTCTAGCTCAAAGGTTTGAACCTCGCAGCCGGGCATTTGTGAAAGCCTGCCAAGTGTTTGACCTCGCAGCTTGGCCGAGGAGCGCAGAGGAGCTTATGAGCTATGGCAGGGAAGACATGGTGCAGATTTTTGAGCACCTCGAAGCCGTGCCAACCTTTTCCACCGAAGTGAGCAGAGAAGGCACGGACCCCAGGGGGAGCTTGCTCATGGAATGGCGGGAACTCAAGGTGGATTATTATACCAAAAATGGTTTCAAAGATTTAATCGGCCACATTTGTAAATACAGGCAGAGGTTTCCTCTTTTAAACAAAATCATCCAGATCCTCAAAGTTCTTCCCACCTCCACAGCCTGCTGCGAAAAGGGGCGCAATGCCCTGCAGAGAGTGCGCAAGAACAATCGTTCTCGGCTCACCCTGGAGCAGCTCAGTGACCTTTTGACAATTGCTGTTAATGGACCACCTATTGCCAACTTCGAAGCCAAGAGGGCACTAGATAGTTGGTTTGAGGAGAAATCTAGCAATAGTTACGCACTGTCTGCAGAAATGCTGAGCAGGATGTCCTCCCTGGATCAGAAGCCAGTGCTGCAGAGCATGGACCACGGGTCGGAGTTTTACCCTGATATTTAGCAAGGAATGCCTCTCCTTTAGAAAGCTGTTGAATCCCTTTTTTAAAGAAAAAAAATCAATACTCTAAGCTTTGATATAGTATATGAAATATATATATATATTATATATGTATGTATGTAAAGCCCAACACTGAAAATTTAAAACTTATCTGATGGAAGCTAAGAGGAATTTTTATGAATGAGACAAGACTTAACATTTACTGACATCTTCAACCGTGGCAGCTGCAATGTAGGTGGCAACATTTCATTCTTCAGAATCATGTGCTGGGGCCATAGTCTATATTTTCAAACTGAATCGATGTTATAAGCTAGACGTGGCAGGCCAATGTCATCCTACTTCTCATTATGCTTCTGTGTGTATGTCTTCTCTCTTTCTGTCTCTCCTTCTCTCTCTTTTTCTTTGTTAGTTAGCAATTGAGCCATTTCAGCCCTCTACTAATGATGCTTGGGATTTTTGAGCCCAGTGCCTACATTTTGGTATTTCTTTTCCAGCTTCCCAATTTTCACGTAGGCTAGAGTGGATTCTTGCAGCTTCTTCTGGTGATCTGGTTCATTTTCTGTTGTTTCTGTCAATTGGCCCATGATGCCCCTTCCTTGGTCTTAACCACCGGTGGGCATTTTCAGTGTAAGGCAAAACCTTTTTTCTGCTACTCCTGTGAAAATTCTACTAACGATTCATTTATCTTACAATATTGATAGCATGTTCAGATGAAAATAGCATAATGCAGAAGATGGGGAACTATTGGGGTGGGTGGGGTGTTTTTGCATTTATATTTTTATATAGTAGACAATGAGAAAAATTAAATAAAACTCTTTACTGAAAACCCGGGCTGCTGTGGAAGCTAGAGAGCCAACGAGTCAAAGCTCCGTAACAGGGCAGGGACTCCAGGGCTTAAAATATGTATGCTAATTTTATGTTATTTATACTCGGTCTTTATCATCATAAATGGGTTGTGTCTTTGTTTGGGTTTTTATAACAAGTGAAAGAAATGCCTGTCACATTTCTGTGGCAGGGGATATCAATGCAAGATCCGTCGTTGATTGTCGTCACATGACAAGGTCCTCTTAGGGGTTCACATATCCTCCGTTGAGTAAGGTTTGAAGTTCAGTCATCTGGCAAAAGAAAAAACGGAATGCTGTGTTTATTCCTGTGAACTGCTTCTTTCAAAGGGGTGCATGGTATGGCAACATATTTGCAGCTCAAATAAACACATCTGTGGAGATTTTTTTTTTTTTTTACTACCCCAACGCTTAAGGTTAAATAAGCCAAAATGAGCACAAAACCTCCACTGCTGACTGTGCCTTGCCCTGCTAATATTGGAGAGGGCAGCACCACAACAATAATGGACAATCACAGGAATAAAATGATTTTTTTTGCCCGGAACTACTAGGATGGCATGTTTCCAGAGGGACTAACCTTATGCCAGTCGGCATTGTTTTGGAAATACAGCAATGACGTCAGTTACACTGAACTTTTCCATATCCCCTCTCTCCACACACACCCTGCCATTTTCCTCCTGACCCTTCCTATTGGTCTTGGTGCTAAAGTATCTCTGGAACTGATGCTGCTAGCTGCTAGCTTTTCATTTACATAAATATATGATTTTATTTTTTAAACTGTACGTTTTCAGTGGTAATGTAGCATGTTGTTAAAGCAGTCTCTCTTAGGGTATTAACTGCACCAGCTTCCTTCACTGTGTCTTTTCCTCCTCCTCTCTTTTTGCTCAGTGGAAATGTCCTGGGAATAATCTTTTAGCATTGTTCCCATACATGCGCGATTCTTATATCCAGGACTCAAAGCTCATTCCCTCCACCCCGCAACTGCTCAATGAAAAACAAAGAAAACCCCAGATACCTTGATGTGTTGTCATACAAAAGAACTAGGGATAGAGGCTCTGTGCTTTGTGGCATCTCCAAGGGATTGTAAAGCAGTTGGAGCTGTTAAGAGAACTCAGCCTGGCTGCCTCCAGACAAAAGGAAAGCGGGGTGGGAGGGAAGATAGCTGGAGGATTTAGTGAGTCGTCTTATGACAAATGCACAACAGTAGCATAAGAAGCGGCACATAGGCAAAAATAGAAAGATGATGGGTTGAAGCAGTGGTTTTCAACCAGTGTGCCATGGCACCCTGGGGTGTCTTGAATGATGGCCGGGGTGCCACGGGCAATACTGGCCTCTGTCCCTCTTTCCTTCCCTCCCTCCTTTGATGCCCTATCACGTCTCTGCCTCCCAAAGGCTTGCACAACTGTTTGTTGCAGCAGCCCTGGCTGACCAAGGTGTGCTTCCCAGGCCCCTGTGGGACAGTGTGAGGAGGCACCTCTCTTTGGGGCAGGGGGGGCATCTCAGAAACCGGGGGAGGCAGCTCTAACTGCCTGGCGGACTCTCAAGGAGAGGGGAGTGGTGAGGAGGCTGAGGAACACTGCACAAGGGAGGGTGTTTGAAAAGCGCCGAGGGGCTCCTGCCTCTGCAGGCAAGGGGTGACACAACTGGGCTCCTGAGCCGCACAGGGGTGCCACAGAAAGAATGCAGTTGGACAAGGGAGCCGTGGACCCAAACAGGTTGAAAACCTCTGGGTTGAAGAATGAGCCAGAGGGAGAAGCTCTGGGGTAGGACAGTTGTAATTGTATAGGAGTTAGTGCTTTTTTAAAAATGTGGCACTGACTTCCATATGAAAGCAGGGGGTCCGAGCAGGAATTGAGAAACTATCCTAGGCAATCAGGGACAGCAAACAGAATCAGGTGCAGATTGCAGCAGCTCTTTGTACAGAAAAAGAACAACTGGTGCAGATATACCTGTGGTCCAGCCCTCGCCGACTCGGTGCCCTCCTTCAGCTTTGGACCACAACTTGTATCAGCCCTGGCCGAAAGTGGAGAGCACGAGGTTGGCGAAGGCTGCTTTAGTCACTTCCACTGCCGGGGTTCATGCACTGCCTTCTCACTCTGCACACAGATACGCACATACACACACACACTTGACAAGTAGCATTTTATGTTGGGCTTTAGAAATTCCTTGTCTGCAATATTACCTGCTTTGGGCTGATGGTAGGGAGTGAGACTGATGAGCACAGAAGGAAGATTTGTTAGGAAATGTTAAAAGAGTTGCGTAGTTTTGATAATTTTTGACAGCGGTTAGGGCATCGTTGGTATTAAAGCTACAATGGCAACTTAATGTAGAATGTTTTTACATGATGCTATTCTAAGCATAGAAACAACTGCTGGGATTTGGAGAGCCTTGGTGTGACCCAAGGCCAACTACATACCATGGGTGATGAGAGATTAGTATTGTCAGCATACGTTTGCACAACTAAGAGGCTTCCATTCACCCTTGTGTTGGTTTACTGGTGATATTAACTCCAAGAGAGTGGTTACCACTCACTGAAGTGGGGGGTGGGGAGTATAAATGCTTTGCTTCTATATTCTTACTGTCAGTGGTTTTTGGCCATTTTATAGGCCCTGTAGATTATGACCCAGCTGTCCCAATACTCATAATCTGGTTGTTTTAATTGGTTCATTTCAGATAAGTAACAGAGGCTCTGGTGGAAACGATGATAAGGCTGGATAAAGACAATTTCAGAATTTAGAAGACGGTTTGTTATTTGAAGCACTCCCGATGTGTGCTAATGTTAGAGTGCGTACACTAGACAGTGCCTAAGGTGAATCCAACCACAATTTATATTAAGAAACCATTTCGGTATATGGTTTCTGAAACATTGTTCCTCAGACTGATAGCTCAGTCGGTAGAGCGTGAGACTCTCGGGGTCGTGGGTTTGAGCTCCACGTTGGAGAGGGTTGGGCCAGATGACCATCATGGTTCCGTCCAACACTATGATTCTATGATTCTTAAAGTAAGAACAATTGGCCGAGGGCTAGGTAATCTGCATTTTGCTTTGCCTGTTATCCCTCTTCATTATTGGTCTGAAGAAGAAATAATTTGCTAGGACACTGGTTGTTTTTAGCCTCTTTGGGAAGAGAGTAAGATGCTACTCATTAAATGTTCATGAGCTCACCTGGATAATTCCTCTTCTGTAGTTGCTTATATTCAGGAGATATGTTCTTGTGCTCTGATGCTCAAGCATCAACGGGTTGCAGGAGGCATAATATTAAATCGCCTGTAGGGTATGCCTAGAATGTTGTGTAAATGGGCAAGAAAATGAAATATTTGCAATGACCAGCATGCAGAGAACAGAAAATGGCACAGGCTTCTGTGAAAGCTTCCTCTTCTCTCCCATTTTGGGGTTTTCAGAGCAGTCTGTTTGTGTGTGTGTGTGTGTGTGTGTGTGTGTGTGTGTGTGTAAACATTTGGCCATACTGTAATACATGCAGAACACAATCCAGTTTAAATTAAGCAATTTTAAATCTTTGTTTCAGTGAAAGAGGCAATCAGGTGCTTAATTCACTCGCATTAAAATCAGTGGTGCTTAACTGTGGCTGGGCCATATTTTACATCATCTGCCACTATTTTTCCCCATAGTGTTAGTAGTTTAACTATAAATAGATAATCCAGGTTGGTTAAAATGAGACTGAAATCCTCCATGGCTTGGTTTACATTCACAGTCTTACCTGTGATGTTATACATGTGATAGGTTTCCACATATGAGCTCCAAAATTACAAAACCGCTTATTGCTTTTTTAATTTCATCTACAATCTGCCATTCAGAGTCAAAGTTCTCTCCATTCAATGAAAATGTTCCCTATCTGAAATTATTTTACTACCAAAATACATCAATTACAGTGGTACCTCAGGTTAAGAACTTAATTCATTCCGGAGGTCCGTTCTTAACCTGAAACTGTTCTTAACCTGAAACACCACTTTAGCTAATGGGGTCTCCCGCTGCCACTGCACCGCCGCGCAATTTCTGTTCTCATCCTGAAGCAAAGTTCTTAACCCGAGGTACTATTTCTGGGTTAGCGTAGTCTGTAACGTGAAGCATCTGTAACCTGAAGCGTATGTAACCCGAGGTACCACTGTAAACATGCCTGCATCTTTAAGCCCCTGAAAGCATGTTGCACCTTGTAATGGACTGTTTAGTTAAATCAAAAGATGAAAAGTATTACTTAAATAAAACCCTAGCTCTGTCAAAATCACATCCACTTCAATGAAGACATAATTTTCTTATCATAAGATTTGGTTGCACACTTAGTAATTTGACCAGTCGTCAAGAATCCAACCTGTTAATGCTATGCAAAATGGTATTTGTTGGTATCCTATTATGAAGAAAAAAATTGCTAAATATTCTAAAGTACAGGGACAACATAAGGACTTGATGAATGTGTGATCATACACATGTCTTAGTTAGGGTATGCATATCAGCAGCCAGGTAAATAAGAATGCTGGCTGAAGATTGCATTGTGAATGTTGTACTTCCAGGTAAAACAATGTTGTATTACTGTTGTGTATCACTTTTGCGAGGAGGGGTGCTGCCTCCAACAGTTGTGTTGAATAGAATATTTGTCTATGCTCAGTTGCTATGATTTAGCTATCTGTTTGGTCACAGTCAAACTAAATAGAGGCTGGGAAAAGAGGACACTAGAGGGCGTCTGGTGTTAAGACGTTTGTGGATGTGTAGCACAGCCAAATAGCACAAGAGAAGGAAGCTATTGCCTGCGTTTGATGGTACTTCAAAATGCCTTGTATAGGTTTCTCCTGCAGTGAGGAGATAAAAAGGAGCCCGGCTCAAAAGTATCCAATTCTAGGAGATCCAACTGGGATCGGGAATCCTGTCACATTCAGGCAATGGATGATGACGATTATGGATGTGTGATCTCTTAAATCTCTAAACCAGAGTTTCCCAAACTTGGGTCTCCAGCTGTTTTTGGACTACAATTCCCATCACCCCTGGCCACTAGTCTTGCTAGCTAGGGATGATGGGAGTTGTAGTCCAAAAGCAACTGGAGACCCAAGTTTGGGAAGCACTGCTCTAAATGATAAAAAGATACGGCTTGTAATAAATTCTTCCTTCTTGCTGAGCACCTGATTGATTCATCTGTTCATATCTATATCTGTACTTTAACTTGTGGAGTTCTAACTCTAAGGAGGTCTCATTGCAGATCTCCCCGCTATCTTTTATAACTCAGGCTCTTCTACAGATGTATGTGTCTGTTTGTCAGAAACACACTAAGCTCGCACTGATGCTACCTTGCATGCAGACTGCCAAGGGTGCACAAAAGTCAAATTGCCATGGGATTGTGGTAAGGAAACAGAAAGCCAAAGCTTCCTACATTAGCAAAGCACAGTGAGGACACAAGCATAGAATCATAGAGCTGTAGAGTTGAAAGGGACCCCAAAGGTCCTCTAGTCCAACCCCGCTGCAATACACAAACAGTGCAGACATGTATAGTTCTGGCACACTTTTGGGCTATCAGTTGACCTTTCTGTTAGCCAGTTGTCTGCAGTTCTGCTGGTCTGGACTCTCAGTGGCCATTCAGAGATACTGATCCCACATCATAAACACAGCCACTAAGACAGAGCTTGCAGAGCCTATGACCCTCCAGATCTCAACAGTCTACAACTCCCGTGGATGCCTGATCATTGTCTATTTGGGCTGGGGCTATGGGAGTTTTAACAATGTCTGCAGGGCTGCAAGCTAGCTACCTCTGCAGTGAGAGGTTTTTCAGGTTATGTTTCAGCTAATGCTATGTTTCAGCTCATAAGATGGGCCTGTTATTTGTATAGCTAAGACACGCATTGGGTTAGTAGCACCCCTTGATGGCAAAAGTCTATCTCAGAAACAGTAGAATACCGGTACTATGCAATTCCTGTGTCCGTCTGGAGGCAAGTGAAATATGTATGCATGAAACCTGATTTAAGTCTACAATGCATCCTCTTGAAAGGGGCGGACTAAGGGGCAGATGTGAGCCTTGAAGTCCTGTTGCTTCCATTGGGATTTCATCGCACCTGACTTCCTCTGGACTGCCCTCATTTGGCATTGACCCAGCTAAATTCAAGCACTTTTAACATTTTACTGATTTTCAAGGGGAAATTCCAATTAAAACCAGTGGGGCAAAGGACTTTGGCTAGACATAATCTATACACAGCCTGTCCCTATATAGCAACCCATGTACAACACACGATGTAAGAAATGAATCCACATGCCTATATATCACTATATAAGACTGTATATTTAGATATGTATCTGTTTTCAATAGATATAAATATGAAATTTAGGGAGAAAATAGGTTGTCCTATTGCAAATGAAGACCCTGCATTTTGGGGAGAGGCATAAAGTACTTAAGGCTAAAATTTGGCTGGTAAGCATGGCAGCTTGCCAAATGAAGCCTATGATAGCAATAGTGGGACCATCTTGCAATGGATGCGGGTGAACATTTCATCTGTTTTGTGTGCTGACACGGACAGTAAATGCCTTTAGCTAAGACGTATCTGACCCAGTTGCGCACTTTCCCCCCTCTGCTTGTTTTGACTTTCTGAGTGCAGGCTGAAATGTAGCTTGTGCTCTCCCCACCGTTCCAGTTTGTATTGTTCAATGGCCAGCAAAGCAGAATTGTCCGATGAATTTGGAGTGCAGTCCCTGGAGGCGGAAGGCCGAGTCCCATTGCCGTCAGTGAGCGGTACTTGATGCTCTGTTTAGGGTAGGGATGCAGCGTTCATTTGCACAAGGAACAGAGTGTAGTCGAAGAAGAAGAGAGATGGGTGGCATCCCAGCGGTTGTTGGACTCCATCTCCCATGGGCATCTGTGACCATGAGAGCTGTAGTCCTGCAGTAGGTGGAGAGCCACAGATTCTCCAGCCTCGGTACACAGCGAGGAGGTTTAGCACAAGAAGAAAAAGCTCTGAGTGCAGTGATTAAAATAGGTAAATTGATTTAGCTGGTGAATCTGTGCAGCTGCATTGTTGCTCCTCGGCTACTACCATCTTGTCTGGCTGCTTTTCAAAGAGCTGCTGCTTTTTTCATTGTTAAATGAGCAAATCAGATAGCTTTCAGGGTGGGCAGTGGAGTTGTGTCATTAGAGAATACTGCAGCCTGAATGCTCATTTTTATTTTTATTTTATTGGTGTTGGCAATGAGGCATTATGACTAGACCACTCCAGCAAAACAATGTTAATGTGATGATACCCTTTTTAATATGAATGGCAGATCCAAGCCACCGTTTCCAGAGACCGTCCTTTGTGAAATACCAGCTGGACGGCCTCTTGCTCTTCTCTGGGCAAAGCCATTAGGATGAAGTTAGCACAACTACTTCATACCAGGAAGAGGCGGGAGGATAAAATGGTTTTGGACTTCCCTCCATACAGACACTATGTAATGACTTGCGCAAGTTTTTTGAGAAAGACAAATATTACTGCTATTGGGGGCTCGGGGTGGGGGGTGAATGTGGGAACAGTTTTTCCTCAACCGACTACTTGCACTGACTGGTGTTGCACAGCTACACATTTAGAGAGCTTGTGCCACACTCACTCTCACACACACACACTCTTATGGTGATGATGCAGGCAATGTGCGTCAGGCCTCTGTCGCCACCACACAACTCTGGAAACCCACCTCAGTTACAAACCTGGCCTACCTGAACCCCTGCCCCCTGCCCCCCAACCAAGCTTCAGGACTGTAGAGTGTAATCCCATAGAATAACAGCTACCTAGAAAACATGATCCTCAGGACTGAACCTCATGGATAAGTTACCTTCTCATGGCTACTGGACTCTTTACCAGCCTGCAAGCTGCCAACAAGGCACCCTCGCTCTGTAAAATATTTTTTTTTATAAAATCTGTCAGGCACTTCACCTCATGTATAGAAAAAACCTTCCCAGCCACTGCTGGGGAGACACATCACTCAAACTGTAATTTTAGAAATGCAACAGGAGGGCTGTCGGACTTCTCCTTTTCAGGCGTCCCCACAAACTCACTTTACGAAGAATCGAGGAGGTGTGTGAAGATAACCTCCTCGCATTTTGCCTTTCCCCTCTTTCCCTTCACAACCCCGTCCCCAACTGTTAGCTTGAACCATGCACACATGTAAATGAGGGGAGGGGAGAAACAATCTAGAAATCTTATTATTACATATGTATTAAAATGTTAATATCACACTTTTTCTGACAATGTTTTAAAGAAAAGAAAAAAAGTTATTACTTTGCGGACTGTGCTTTATAGTACCTGTGTGAAAGAGGCTAGGACACTGGATACGAATAGAGCTATGTTGATATATCCCTAGTATGTACACGAGAACTTTCTTTTTGTCATACATTATACTTGTAATGTAAGATGATTATTAATAAAAAAAGAAACACTTCAGTTTATCAAGGCGGGTGGTGCGTGTCTTTATTAATGACTCGAATGAAAACAACTGAGCCTGCAGAAGAAGAAGAAGAAAGACTTTGCAGGCAACTGTAACCAAGTCACTTATGGGAAGATCATTCATAATTTGCCCTCAAGGGCCCCCCAGGCAGAGGCCAAGGCGCCTGCAAAGAGGCAAAGGGAGAGAAAGCCAAGGCTGACCAGGGGTCCAAGCCCCCCAGAGCCAAAGGGGGGAGGAAGGGGGAGAATCCAGCCAGCCGGGGCCCCAAGGAGGCCTGAGGGGCCAGATTCCACAGGGAGGGCAGGATGGGGGCACATGGCTGTCCAACGTGGCACCCTCCATCCACCTTGTCCAAGGGAGAGGAGACCCCTTTTATGGTGGGGGCTGCCCCTCCACCTCTGGCACAACGTTCCCATTTATGAATGGACTATTTATGAAGCAAAGACCCTGTTTTTAAACACAGTGTCATTTTCCAATAAAGTTCAGAATGCCCCCCCCAAAAAAAAAATTGCCCTCAAGAGTAGTTTGGCACACCTTGTTCATGCCCCCCTCCCATGCAGTCCTACATAACAGGGTGGATGCTCTTCAAAGTCCTGTCCCTGATCCTCCATGTGTTCTGGTTGCTAGCGCCACTAAGGGCCAAACTGTGTGCCAGGCTTAATGTGTGACCTACAGCTACATTTCCAGTTTTTTTATAATTGCAGGTGTGCTAGAGGGAAAGTAGAGGTTTATCCCTTCGCTCCCTAGCCACAATCAAGAGGAAAATCTCCCCCATCATGCATACAGCTGCGAGACTTAGTAAAAAAATCCCTGTGGTTATCAAAGGAGAGAGAAGATATATTTTGGGGCGGGGGAATAAACCTTCCTTACATGCTGCGATTCTGATAACGATCATAAAGCTCCATGCACCAGTACTGTGCCTAAAGGAAAACTTGAGCTGTACACAATGTGTTGAGCATAGTTCATTTGGCCCTCAAAACAGGCATTTCCCCCTGAACCTCTGTTCCGGGTACTGTGAGTGAACACCTCTTCCCCCTGGCTTTTGACCCTTGAGATATATCTATTTTAGAACCTGCTCTATTATTGTGGATGTGAATTTGTTCTAAGCTTTTAAAAAAAAAGACTGAATGGCAGTAAGAAGTTGAAATGATAAAAGTAACTAAATAATGCTGACATATAAAGACCTCTTTGCTACCTTGACCGTGTTGGCTATTTGCAGATTAGTTGTGCTGCAGAAGGTGTGCTGGGGAGACCACACATTACAAGGAACGCAAAAATAACTTTTGCTAGGTTTTAATAACAAAAACAAAAACTCCTTTTACAATATATCAGTAAGTATGACCCACCCACCAGGGTACTGAGAGAGCTAGGTGCTGCTCTTTATATACTATACCCAACAGCTTAATTAACATAACTTAACAGCACCTGCTATACTGCTTCACAGCTGTAAAACTAAGTCACGTTATTTGCTCTGGACCTCAAAGAGATACACATCTTGTGGAACAATAATGAACCTTCAGATTTAAAGAGACCATTCAACAGACCGGTCTGCAGCAGTGCCCACCAGGAATTGCTTCTTCTCACCCTGCTTAGTAGTTAGGACTGTGGCTCAGTTGTAGAGCACAGGCTTTGCATGCACGTTCAGTCCCTGGCCTCTCCAGGTACGGGCAGAGCAAAGACTTCTGCCTGAAATTTTGGAGAGGTGCTGTCAGGCAATGACAACATCAGGCTGATGGACCAATGAATAATAATAGTAATTGTAATAATTTATTATTTATTCCCCGCCCACCTGGCTGGGTTTCCCCAGCCACTCTGGGTGGCTCCCAACAGAATATTGAAAGCACCTTCCTATGTTCTTACGGTGGATATTTTTTTAGTCTCTCTGCTGATGGATGTTGTCATGTAGGCTGGCTTCCAGCTGCAGTGACTCCTTGTTCCAGATCTATAGAGATGGGCTCTCCAAAATTTACCTCCAAAGATATCCCCTCAGTGTCACAAGTGGCTCCAGGGATGCTTTCAGCAAAGCCTGTCCAATTAAGGGGTGTATAAGCCTTCTTATATGGGTTCACCCCCTGAAATCTTTTCTAAAGCTCCCCAAACTAAAACAGCATCAAAGGCTTAAGCACATTCTGATATCAACTACCCCAACACGATGTGCTCAGGTGTACAGCAAGCAGATTCTGGGGATGGCTAAGCTCTTGGTCAAGCAGGTGTTAACATGCCCTGCTGGAGATACCAAGCCCATTTGGTGAGTGACATGAGTTTATTCCTCTGGGCCCAATTCTAGTAGCACAGGATCTCCTGGAAACTTGTGAAAGACATGTGGACAAAACCCATATCATACGTCATTGCTAGAAAGCTGGAAACAATGTCCTGTTTACAGTGGTAGACTTGCACTGTTGTCTTGTATGTACCTGCAACTACTGCTCTTCAAGTGGCTGTCAGTGCAGTGACACAGACTACCCATCTTCCCCATGTAGAGGCTTTGGGGGGGGGCTATAAATTGTGGCAAGGGTGGGGAGCATTTTTCACCCCCAAGGGCTGTGTTTCTGGGCAACGCTTGGAGAACCACATGCCACTGGTGGGTGAAGTTAAAGACCAAAGTGAACATGACCAGAAATGTGGTTTCTGGACGGACACACACACACACACACACACACACACACACTCTTCCTCCATTCAGGCAAGCAAGGAAGCATCCAGCCTCAAGGACACATTCCAGCAAAGCAGAGCCATTCAGGGGGTGTCTTGGGGAAACGTTCTCAGGGCAGGATAGCCTGGGGGGTGGGGGTGGGCTTTAAATGCAATAAATATTTTTTTTTCAGTTTTGGATTGGTGAATGTAGTTGTAGACAGACAGCTATGTGTGCATCTGTCTCTTAGTAGCAAATGCTTTTTTGTCGTGGTGGGAGTTTTGAACCAGCACTCAACCATTTAGAAAGGGGCAGGAGTACACAACATGGTGCCCTCCAGACGTTGCTGTACTACAACTCCCACAATCCCTTGCCTCAGCAGCTTCTCACCACTAGGGGGCTTGTTTTCTCATAATAGCCTTTACCCTCTTGACTGGATCCTCCTGGAGATGGAACACAATGAAACCTCATTTACTAGCTCTCTTCCTATCACGACCCTTTATTCCATCAATGCATTGTCTCCCCGCCCCCGGCCTTGAAAGTGTGAGGCTGTCTGTTATACAGAAACAGCTTTTTGATATCTTCCAGCACCCTCTAATCATGAACAAACTGATTGGTGTTAAAACTGCCTTGAAAGGCCATATTCTATTGAAGACAGGGAGAACCCATCCCTTTCGTTCAACCCTGCATTGTCTCTTATCTGAGGTGGAAAAGCACAGCAGAAAATAATCTTGTACAGCATTAAGCCAGGCACCAGCTGTGAAGAGAATACACATGTAAAAATGAAGGTATGGCTCCTCATTAACTGATGGAGTTTTTTCATCTACTCTTTTTAATAATGTCTCTGTTTACATGGCTTTGCTTCTATATTTATAGATATTGATCCAAGAAACAATACAAAGAAATAACAAGAAAACTGCTTGGGTAAGGAGTTTTCAATTGACATTTCCAAGGGAGACGGAGTGCTGTGAATTTTCTGTTAAGGAAGCTAACTTGTTTCTATGGAGATAGTCACTGCCCTCTCCATCTCCATTTCTCCATCTCCCCTTCCACATTTCCTTGAATCCCAAGAGGTTCCATGAGGCAATAGCTAAAGGGCAGTGGATACACTGAGCAAACTACGCATTCCTGCATATACACAAAGCCATGGGTGGAGAACCTTTTTTGGTTCCATGGGCCAGTTCCTTATCAGGATCTGCCTTGCAGGCGAAATTTGGCAGGTGGGTGGGATTGCCCTCATGTCACAATCCCTTTTGCTCTGCTCTTAAAAGGGACATGAGTGGTGCTGTGGGTTAAACCACAGAGCCTAGAACTTGCCAATCAGAAGGTTGGCAGTTCGAATCCCCGTGACGGGGTGAGCTCCTGTTGCTCGGTCCCTGCTCCTGCCAACCTAGCAGTTCGAAAGCACGTCAAAGTGCAAGTAAATAAATAGGTACCACTCCAGCGGGAAGGTAAACGGCGTTTTCGTGCGCTGCTCTGGTTTGCCAGAAGTGGCTTAGTCATGCTGGCCACATGACCCAGAAGCTGTACGTCGGCTCCCTCGGCCAATAAAGTGAGATGAGCGCCGCAACCCCAGAGTCATCCGCGACTGGACCTAATGGTCCCTTTACCTTTACCTAAAAGGGAAGTGGGGTGGGGCTTGCAAAAGCCTTTGTGAGTCTCCAGTCCCTCCTTTTAAGATCAGAGCAAGGAAGGACTCAAAAGGGAAGGAGAGCAACTCACAAAAGCTTTTGCAAATCTTTTCCCTCTTGCCTTTTAAATCCTTGAGACTTGGAAAGGAACCTTCCCCCTCCCTTTGCTTTTCAAGTCCCCGGTGTGGCCAATCTTAAGGGGCAGGGAGACTCGGAAAAGATAAAGAAAATACATGCTGTCTTAATTCAAATGAGGAAAATATAAAGTCAGGAGTAAGCAAAGAACAAAATTGAATTAAATACCACTAATCCCAGTTCAAGATCCAGTAAGCAGGCAAAGCAGGTATAAAAAAGGCAAACCGGTAAAGCAGATAGTACCCTGGATAATTCCATGAGGAGTCTGAGGCTACCTGGGCCTCCAGGATAGAGCTGAATCCAAAAATGGCCCCAAACTGCATTACGGCAGGCAGTTGACCAATTTCTCAGACATGGGAACCACTTGCTTCTGTCTTGCTAGAATTCAAACTCAGCTTATTTTCCCTCATCCATCCCACTGCTGCATCCAGGCACAGTCTTGCTTCATTCAGATGTTATGGAAAAATAGGGCTGAGTGCCACCAGCATTCTGATGACACCTTGCCCCCAAACTCCTAATGACTACTCCCAATGGCTTCATGTAGATATGAATAGCACTGGGGATAGACTAGTGTCCTACTGTTACGTGGTTACATAACAGCACCCCAT